GTACCACAGATGTGTTTTTGTAATGGATGTGCATGAATAACGATGAGGCAGAGAGAGAGAGAGAGAGAGAAAGGAGGAGGTTGTGTAACCTATTTTGAATGCTCCGAGTCTTTCTCCAAAATTGATACCAAGCAAACAGTGTGACACATGTATCTGCCTACTGAATGGGAATTAGACACACACAAAAGCACATCAAAGGGTGTGATTGAGGGGGTTTGTTCCACGGGAGATGAGTGAAAGAAACTCGGCCAGTCATTTCAGATGTGAATTACTTTCATCATCCGCACACATACGGCAGGCAAGGATAATCATGTTACTGCGTTTACTATGTGAAAGAGAATTTTCCTGTTCACACAGTCTTGAGGGATGCTAAATAGAGGCTGCATCTTTTCTTATTCATAGGCCATGCAGAATACATGCGTACTGGCCAGATTGAATTTTGTCCTTCATGGAAAAGAGTCATGTCTTTGTCTGCAAAGCTGCTTCACCTCTGAATTGATGTTCTGCAAAATTACAAGTACAAAACGCCTTTTGGCTTGTTGCTCTACTTAAAAAATAAGGCTGGTGTTACTCTATATTTTCCTTGCTGTCAAAAAGAAAAACCGATGAGTTAGTATGTCATGCTTTTAGACCTCTCTACCCTACTCAGTCCAAAGCCAATTTGTGTCTCCTGACATAAATCTTTAAAAATGGGTCACAAATATATGGTTTCATTTTTTTAAAAAAAGGTTCAGTAATTTCCTAGAAAAGCTGGGTATTAACATTACTCACACAGGTGAAAATAGTGTGTTTGATGGTGAGTATTTTCTGCAGTGGATTGATACATATTTGGTGCCAGGATGAGGGATTAACTCAAAATAAACTTTGTGTCGAATAAACAGTGTCTAAATTCTTCATAACCAGCTGAACATTCATACAGATTACATCCACATTGGACGATTCTGCTCCTCACGATTTACGTCCAGTGCCAACATTCAGTACCAATGCAAGAAGTAGCATGTTTTTAATATAGCGATGCAAAAGGAAGTGTGTAGAAATCGGGGTGGTGGATGGGCGTGTAGCAAGTCCCGACTTGTACGAAGAAGATCGGAATTTGCTTCCCTAACCCCAAACACAAAAGCCTGAAACCAAAACCTAAAATTCCTGGCCACCCCAGTTTGGTCTGAAATGAAAAACGAAAATGAACACATAAGTTAATGATCTGGCCACATTTTAGATGAAGTTTAAGTTCAATAAAAGACATGTATTAGGAAATAAAATAAATGATTAATTTCTAGTGCTACGTTTACATATATCAATTCAACGCTTTACTAATGTGCCACAATCATTTGAGTTAAAAGATCTTAATCTGGGGGCTTTTCCAAGCAAATACTGCTATATGTGATTGTGATTACACTGTTGTGCAAAAACATAATAGAAAATGCCAAAATTACAATTGTTAGATGTCAGATGAGAAGTTGAGTATTTAAAAGAAGTTTTTATTTTTATTAATAAGAAGGAAATAGTACAAAGATAAAGCTCCAACCGAACCAAAGCCTGCTTGACGTCCCGCCAACCTTGGAATACAAAAATGTTTGGCATTTGTCTAGGATCCTTTTAAAACAGGCATTTTCTGATATTAATATCCTTTTAACCACGAGATCTTCTTTATTTGGGATTGATATAAACTTCTGTGTGCTTCTCAAATAATTGGATCCAAGGCTCATGGGACGGAGACATTTTCAGTACTGTGCCACAGTGTTCCAGTTTCCCATCAGGTTGGATAATGGACCATAGTGAGGAGAAGCGGTGTCCCGTTTCAGGTTTTTTCATGCCAGCACAGGACTGGCCATACAAACAAGGCCTGATTCAGGGACTAAGAAAAGTTGGAAAAAAGAGAGAGAGGAGTAACAACAGCTACACTGCAAGAGGGAGGAGAGCAAGAGGGCTGAAATAGGAGAGAGGGGAGATGCAAAGGCAGTCCCACAGGCAGTGAAGAGGCAGCTGGCTCAGAGGTGTGCACGTCCTATTTTTAGTTTCCCTCATGCACATCTCCAACTCAAACAGCTGCTGGAGCATTTGCACACCAAAAGACTTCGGCATCATCGTTACTGCAGACAAAAAAAAGCCACGCAACAGGAGAGCTTAAACTTTTGGCTCAGGTGTTTCAGCTGTAATTGGCGCAAAGCTCCCACCCCTCAGCCCCACTTCCCTCAGGTTGTGTTTTTAGTTAGGTTAAAAGTCACATGACCGACAGTGCTACTGATGCACACCGCCTGCAGTCTGATAAGTAAAGCAGCTGTAAATAACATATGTCCCATGTGAGTAATGTATGGAGGGCTTAACTGTCAAATGAGGTCATTAATGACATGATGGGCTAAGATACTCTGGTATCTTCTGAGAGGCAGAAATGCATGTAGCTTCTTTTTTCAGGCCACTGAGAGAAAAGAGAATAGTATATTTATTATTTTCCTCGAGAAACTGTGAGACAACATTATGGTTACAAAATATTTAATTCATGAAATGCTTTGGAAATCTATCTCAAAAGAAGCACTTTTATTTATTTAATTAAATTTATTATTATTGAAAAAGAAGAATAGATGCATCTGATGCTTATTTAAAAAAAAAAAAATGAAAATGTCCCTGAGCCAATCCTAATTTAAGCCACTACTGAAACAATGTCAGAGCTGCAGTAATAAGCTCCTGCATACATAGGGGAGCAACTTAGTGCGCTACCCAGAAGTAAGAAAAGAGGTTGTTTCATTTATTTATCAAATATGAAATATTTATAGGATTCAATCTGCTGGCAGAGGAGGACCAGGCAGAACAAACTGTGGGTGGAAGAACTGCAAAGTTGCTTCATGGATGGATGTTAATGAAAGCATCTGGTGGAGGGCTGCCTGCTGCTCTGCATACATTTCCGTCTTAAAATTACATTCCAGGCTTTCAGGCAGTAGTGTCTGGGTCAGTTGACCTCAAGTGACAACACACTGCAGGCCATTAACACATCACCCTGCTGTCAGTTGGACTTCGTCTGCCAGAAAATGGGAGTGGACACCTCACCTGCATAAAAGGTGAAGTGTTTGCATATACACACAAGCACATGTGGTTATCCAAAAACCTGCAGATGTTCCAGATGAACCAGTTAGACTGGAGTACTGTGTTTATCCTCCAAACACAGGCTGCAGCCTCACCTCACATGTTTACTTTGTGAGTAAAAGCGGCTTCTATTGAAGCATCTTTGAGAAAAAGAAAGGAGAAACAACAAAAATGAGTCACCGAATCAGCACCTGAGAACTGCTGCAACTATGACAGAGAATACGTTTTTGGGGGGAGGATTAGTTCCCTCTGAAAGGAAGAAGTTAATTACGTGGCTTTGATGCACCTAAAGTGCTGTTCAATTTGTGGTTAATCCTCATCAAACTGCTGCACAAGGATTATGCATTTTGACTGACACCTTGTTGAAATTAAACTGCTGAAACACATCCTCATACACTGTGAAGCACATCTGCACACAGTCAAATGATCAAACACAGCCACAGACAGAGGGGGAGAAAGAGACCCGAAAAAATAGGGAACGCTGAGACAGATCACATTCAATGAGTTAGCAGCACTCTCTGAGTAAGACAGCATTTTAAATAAAACATGAAAGCTGGAGACGAAGGCACTCCTACTTATACAGCGACTTGTGACAAGCCATGATATTCTGAGAGACAGCACACCGAGCTCAGAGCTATCCCTGGGGAGACCCTTCCCTCACCATCAGATAGACTATATATCAGAACCATCAAACATGGTCCCACAACATCCGAGGCTCCTCAGCGGAGACCAGACTGACCGTCGGCCTGTAAGCAGCTGATAAGCACTTATGTGCTGACTTCCTCTGAGCAGTAAAACAACCACGCTCCCTCCCTCTGTATCTTTGATTGGATGACGGAAGATCCATCTCTCACAAATGGGAGCACTAAGTCATCAAGAAGTTCAGTTTCAATCCATGAAAAAAAAAAAAGCCTATTATGGAGACATGAACTCAAATCAAGTCCTGTTTAGTCTCACCTTTACTCCTCCAGAGCCATTAAACTGAGAGGCTTGAGAGGAACGGCCTGTATCAACTTTGATATGAACATGTAAATAAGTCATGGCTAGTCTCTCTCTCTCTTTATGTTGCTCTCAGTCTCTCTGTAAAAGCCATGCACATTTTTAGAATTCCCCAAGATCTGCTGACGTGAAGAAAGAGATGAAAGATTCATGTTTGTTTAAAAAATTCAAACAGATGTCCTGAACTTTCGCTACACAGCCAATTCGGATTAATTATTTAGTCTCCCATGCCAGAAAGGGAATTTGGGAGTTTGGACAGTGCAACTGAAATCCAAACAACAATAAAGCAAAAGGATGAAACCAGTGATTCTGACTTGTACACCATTGTTATCATCTCCACAATAACTGCGACTGCTTTGTGTGTCCCACAAAGGAATATATCGACATTTTCTCACAAATGTTCAACAAGAGTGATGGAGGATGATGGCTGTCTCGCAGAGTTCAGATCTTCATTTGATTTTATTTTCCTCAGCTCTTTCCAATAGCACTGACGTGTACTGTGCTGACACTTGAAGCTGCAGAGCTGGTCAGTAAATGCACCAGCAGAGGGAGACCATGTCACATGACAGTGCTGTAAACACTGCTCTGCGTTTATTTCCTACACATTTAAATAAAAAGTGGGGCTACTCACAGAATTATTTTAGAAATAAGGAGTTATAAATATCCCTACACCATTATTATACTGAATTATGGAGCAGAATTCACACAATTTAAGTATTTATTTAATATAAAACAGCCATCTAAAAAGTTTTTTATTTACCTATGTATAAGTCCAACAATAATTAACTGTTGTCTTTAAATACATCACATTTTTATAATTATTTTACCTTTGTGTATTAATTTTTTTTATCACACTGTCGCATTTCCCTGTCATTAAAGTTAATGTTGTAAATCTAAGAGCTGATCAACTGTTAAGGGTTAAACTCAGTCGGACATGACACTGAAATCCGATACAGTTCCTGATGAATAAGCCAGGTTGTGGCTAAGACCTTGTTACCAGTTTGTTTTTAGTCTAACCTCCACAGGTGGATTTCATGTCGTCATAAAGTTTAGCACGAGGTGGTCTGTGACACTGAATGTAAAGCTCACGCGCCTTTCCGCGCGCCGTCCTGTCCGGTATTCAGCGCACTGCGTCATGGCGACAGCGGCGAGAAAGTTACGCATTTCCTAACCGGAGTTTATGGACTCTCCCTCAGGCAACCAACACTCATATGTGTAAGTATTTCATGTTCCTGTACGCGGTGTTTTTGAGACAAATGCGGGAATATGTCGTCTTCTGCGGATATTTCATGTTACTGTCTTACCTGTTCCGCCAGGTGAGCTGACATGACACCTGTAAGTAAACAGTGTGTAACGTTTACTACAAAGAGTCTTATATGAGTCCACCTTGTCAAACTATTTGAAGTTGCGGTACCATATTTGAGTTTTATTAGCAGTTACACAACAGAGGAAGAGTTTGGTCATTAATGTTCTCTTTCATTGTGGAATTTAACTTCATTGAATCAGCTTCTCCTTCCTCTCTCCTCTCAGTATGGTGGATTACAGTGTTTCACGTGTACCAGAAGCCCTGCTCCCGAAGAGAGGGGGCCCTTTTAAAATGGAGGAGCTGGCTCTGATGGCCTTGCTGGAGTGTCCTCTGTGTTTCCAGCAGCTAGATGTGTCAGCCAAGGTCCTGCCCTGCCAGCACACCTTCTGTATGTCCTGCCTGCAGAGGCAGGAGTCAGCCCAGTCCCAGCTGCTCTGCCCAGAGTGTCGCGCTCCTGTCCCGGCCAGGACGGTGGAGGAGCTTCCTGCGAACCTCCTGCTAGTGCGGCTCCTGGAGGGGCTCCAGGGCTCACCGGGCCCACCGGGCCCCAGCAGTGACAGGCAGACAGCCCGCTCTGCAGTGCCCTTGGCCAGGGGCAGCTTGACAGTCAGGGAGGGGCAGCAGCAGCAGCAGCAGGAGAGTCACCCCAGAGAGAAGCAAGGGCACAATGAGGTCAGTGCACGACCCCGGCCTAATCCCATCTAGAAGTAGCAATATGACCTAGAACAACTTCCTCTCCAGTCTTGCAAGTGAAGTCATGAGTTTTTGTTTCTATTACAGTAAATTGAGGTGATTTTTACACAATCTTTTGATGGCCATAACATACATATTGTTTCAGTGTAAGAAAACCATACAACACACTACACTGTGCAACCCAAAGGGTTTTCTCTCTTATAACAAAGACTGGTTTGTTGGCTCAGTGGTTACTGATTTTCCAAAACCCAGCATTTATGGCCATTGGTTATAATTTTTCTCATCACATTCACTTTTTGGGGATTTTAAAAATGACCTCTTAAGGGTGCGCAATATGGGCAATAACCTCTATATACAGTAAATTTAAATCAGCATTTATATATATTGTGATAAAGGATGTAAACCAGCAGAATAAATATCAAACAAATCAAAGAATTGTATCACAACATAAATAAATCCAGTGTTGCCATAAAGCCCTCCTGTTCATTGATTTATAACATTGCCCACACTGGCCTATAATGCACCCACACACATTAAAGGGAGAGCTACAGTAGAAACAACAAAAGTATGACAATAAGGTGGAGCCCACTGTGGCGAGATTGTCACTGCTAAATCTTACACACTTGTCCTAGTAAAGTGGGATTTTTCACTTTAGTACGAATTCAACTTTATGAGATTATGTGGCACTCTCTACTACTACTTCTACACTACTACTGCTCTACAAGAGCGTTTAAGACAGTTGGTGCTTCTCACATCACAGAGAACAAAGGAGCCCCCAATACGTCGTCTCCCCCTCCTCAGACACGACTCGAGTGGGGAGAGCTCTGTTGTAACTTTAAAGACGAACTATACAGGGCAGTAGTTGTAGGAATATTAAAGATGGGCTAAAAAGTTTTGCAGAAGATGAATATCTCAAACTAAGACAGGAAGGGTGGGTCAGATACATTGACAGTATTTGATGATTAAGTTGATTTGATGAGAAGTAAGTGTTACAAACAAAGATCCGGATATTAAAGAGCCAGTGTCCATCTAACGGTGTTACTCATTTCACCCTCCCTTTCCAACAACGAAGGAGAAACTATAGCAGCTGTGAAAATCCCTAAAAATGTGAAAGGCCCTATCTCCAGCCAGTGTTACTGTTACTGTACCAACGTGGCCGCCTCCGTGAGAGGACCCCGCTCCCTGTGTAGATAAAAACGGCTAATTCTGAGGTAACAAAAACACAACGATCCTTAAGTTCAGGTGATTATACACTAATGAAAACATATGTATGAATATTACAGTTTTGCCAATAGATCCTCCTAAATGTTTCACACTGGAGCTTTAAATATCTAAAGTTAACTAATGAGGGACAGGAATCAAACAAGTGACCAAAAGAAACCAAATAGTTACATCTGTATCATAAGGGACTCACAGAATTACAGCTTGTGACTTATTGGAGTAATGAAGTTTATTTAATACCTTAAACTGAATCAGAATTACTGGTATATTATTGTTGAAAACCTTCTCTGATAGAAGAAAAACGTGTGTGTATCATTTAAAAAGACTTTGAGGTACTTTTTAGGTATTCTCAAGTTAGGACTCGTTATATTTATTTTGGTTCAGTCTTATTTTATGAAGTCACCAGATTCAAATTTGACAGAAATCTGAGAACATTCAACTCAATCAAACTTTATTTGTACAGCACTTTTCTAACAGGTCCGTGCAATCCAAAGACAAGCCAATAATCATTGGTGTGTTGACCAGAATAAAAACTAAATAAAACTAGTTTAACCACAATTTATTTATTTTAACTTCTTTTGAAATGAGGCTGAGAATTTACTAATCTAGTTTCAGATACTAACAGATTTACTAACTGTCTCAATCAAAGAGGGGAAACAAGGTGGGTAAAATATAGTTTACTCAGTTCTGTATTTACCACTTTAAGCGTTATCATAAAGGTGCTTCACAGTCAAAACGCAGGTTTTGTTTGATGCTGATGTTTTATTTTCCAAGGTGGTGAGAAACGCAGAGACCTGCCTTCGCTATAGTCCCGTGTATAAACTGTTCAGAGCGTCAAAGAGTTTAGTTGTGATCCTAAGCTTGAGTTCAGCCAGAGTTCAAATAGCTCCAAACACCATGTTCATGAGACTGAGTTTGTGATCACCCTGCTGTTTAAACATCAGATATACATGTGTATGTGTATGAATATGTATATATATTAGGTGTTTTTTGGCAGAATTTGTCTTGTCAACTGAAAGAGTGTTACTGAAAAAAAGCTTGAGTCAATACTTGATAACATCATTAACGGGAAAAAGGATGTGTAAGTTTAAACACATCTGCATATCCAGATAAGAACATCATGCATCTATGTCTGTTCAGCACAAAATCTGCAAAACAAGCATGCAAAGTTTTGTCACCCCATGCTCTTATTAACAAATGTTTAAGATGTGTCTGGATCATTTTACAGAGGTTGTCTCCCTTGTTAACCACTCATCATTGCAAAGTACCTGGTTCACATGTTGTTAACACAGTTAAATTAATGGACAAAATAAGTAGGGTTGTGTTTTAGTGCAGCTCAGAGGGTCTGTACCCCCCAACATCTTTAAAGACATTGATTTCACCCTCTTCAGAAATGTATATAATCATGTAAAATAAATTCACCATACAGTAGCTGATATGTGACATCCGTCTGCTCTTCAGTTTTCTCTCAGAGCTCCGGTGCGTCACCAACGAGGTGATACTTCAGGGGAGCTGGTGCCCACGCCTGGTAACGGTATCACACCAAAACACAAAGTGGATGAGGACTGGCACCACGGAAACACCGCTGACAGTAGCGGTGCGCCTTCAACAGCCAGCACACTGCAGGCCGCCAGCCAGATGCCTCAGCTGCAGCCCCTCCAGCAGTCCCAACCTCCACCTCTCTGCAGGGCGCTGTTCGACTTTAATCCCAAAGAGATGAATCTGGAAGACAATAAATATTGTCTCAGCTTCCTCAAGGTCTGACTCTCAAACTACTGACTTAACACAGCAGAAAAAATTTATAACACTTGATTTTTGTTAAATATTTGCAGGGGTTCCTACTCTTTAATTAATGCATAAAGACAATTACACTTAACCGTAACCCTCAGGGAATAATGAAACATCAACCTAAAGGGAGAAAAGGCAAAGCTGCTATTTGACCTTAATTATGATGTATGTAATGAGTGTTGCTTTTGTTTAGACCATCATCCACTTTATCTTTAGATGAGATGCATCTGACTGCGACTAACAAACCTCTGCTAAACAATTACTGGGGAAACCCTGATTGGGACATTTAGTGATGCTGTTAGTGCTGAAATATCAAGTGATGAATAATTTCAGTCATGTACTGAGAAAAAAATTATAATAATTTTCAGTATCGATTATTTTCAAGATCAACTTGTGAAAAATAGTGTGAAACTGGAACCAGTAAAAGAAATTGCAATGTTTGCATTAAAAAACATAAATTTTCTGTCAATCAGCTAATCGACTGATTGACTAATGGTTGCAACTCATTCATTGCAGTTCTGTGATTTCAAAAATGTGCCTAATATCTCTGGTTAATACAATAAATTAGGTCTTTGCTGTAATGCTGCTGTTTGGACCCGGGAATGTAAAGACGTCACTTTGACCTGTGGAAGCTAAATAATGTATTGATTCACTTAAAACAAAATGGATAAATACCTCAATTCTGAAGCCTTTTATATATCAAATATTTGACGTCTTTATTAGATTAGATATTAGCTAAAATATTTATCCCATTCACTCTGGTGTGGCGTTCTTGGACATGAACTTGTAGTAGTCTATGTACAGCACAGGAAGTTCCCAATAGTACAAATACATAATGGTCATTTCTTTTTTTAATTTCCATTGCTTTGAGAGAGTTGTGGAGCTGGAGGCTCAGACCTCTGCTCCAGTGGCTGTTACTTACCCTGAAGGATTTCTGAGGCAGTTACGTAAGGGCCTCAGTACTTGTGTTCTCTCCATTAAAGCACACTTGCGCTCTGCTTTTTTCTCCCTGCTCTGTTTTAATGCAGATGGTCAAATGGTTTTTAGAGCGAGGCCGGCCGTAGAAAGGACTGGGCCTGCAGACACAAAAGGAGTTGATGTCACATGCTGCAGGAGAAACTCAGGGCTCGGAGAATTTCTGAGCTGAGTGCTCAGTCTCCAGGGCGACCACACTCTGTTAAAAGGCACCTGGCACGATCCTCTGTGTTTATTTCAGCAGCTTATCTACCTCTCACCTTTCCTATACTTTCTTTAAGTTCAGTTCTCTCTGTGTGACTTACTTATTTCTGGTTTACAGGGAGACATCCTTACTATCATCAAACGGGTGGATGAACACTGGATTGAAGCCAAGCTAGGGGAGAAAGTTGGAGTTTGCCCTCTGCAGTTTATAGAGGTGAGTTCCTTCTTAGCTCACTCTTTCTTTCTCCCTTCCTTCATTGTTTGAATGTGGGTTGTGGCCTTTTCAGTGTGATCAAGGTTGACACCTGCCGTTTGGCACTTTAGTCTGATGGTGTAGCTCCTGCAATGAATTGAACTATAGATGTCGTCGCTGGATGTCATTAATTCCAGGTCACTGCCAGGGCGCTACCTTGATTTTCATTCAAATCTTTGATTCATCCGTAAATGTCACTCCTGTGCTGCAAAGTGCTGAGGCAGAGAGCTAATCTGTGAAGCCCTGCTGTGTCTGCAGCTGCTCATTAGTGTGTGACTATGTGGCTTACTCAGGTTTGTAGAGCTTGCTTAGCTAGCTGACTGTCATTTGTTATCTTCTATACTTTCTGCCTCTAGGAATTAACTTCATTCGTGCCGGGGACATTTTTTATTTGTCCCTACAGTGGGGTTAATGTGGTGCCTCATTCATTTCTTGTTTACTCCCCTCACTTGTCATCTGTTTTGCTATAGTTTATCCTCATATTTTGTTATTAGTCCTCTCCGCCTCTTACGCCTCCTTTCGTCTCCTGTCCACCCGTGTCTTCTCCTGAAGCCCCGCCTCGGCGAAGCTCTTCATCTTTTTCTACCTCTCTACTCTATTCTTCAATCCTCCTCTTTTCTCGTCTCCCCTCTCCTTTCTGAGCCTGCCTCTCCTCGTGTCGTGCAGCCAGGCGTGAAGACACAGTAATGCTTTCTCTGCTTGGGTGGCATAACAGCACATCACTGTGGGGAGTGAAAGCATTAACCCTGCCATGTCTGTCTGTCTGCCTGCCCGTCTGTGCAGCTCCTCTCTCAGCACCATCCAACCCTTCCTGGCTTATTGGCTGGTACTTATGCTCTTGCCTGCTTGTGCCTCTGTCCAACAAGTTGTAGGGGTGAGTGGAGTAGTGATAAGTGGGTGTATTTAGACAGCCGTTTCGCTGATCAGCAGGAGCAGAGGTTGAAAGGCGCCAGTAGCAGGTAGGAGCGAGTTGGAGAGGATTTTCTTGACTGAGGATTGACTATTCTCTGTGTTAGGATTTATCCCGATTTCCACTGTAATTTCTCTTTTATGTTTTCATCTCTTTTAGCCAAACTCAGTGGCTGCCAAACTGCTAGAGGGAAAGAATCGGAAGGGGAGTGACTCAGCAGAATTTCACCATCGGAGTGGGGGCAAAGACAAGGCCACTGACGTATCCAATAGGACCACCCATTACGGAGTCCCTCAAGTCCCAGCAAAGACACCCATCTTCAATGCTTTGCACCTCTCCAACCAGCAGAAACAGCCCGCAGCCAGTAGCATCAACTTTCATCAGACTACCAAAGGAGAGACGACCAACATCAGCACCTTCAACAGCTTCAACCATCAAGGTCTGTCTCACTGCCTCTCAGTGCCTCCTACTGTCCGGGGCCTCTCTCACTCCTCCAGAGTGAACTCTCAGCGAATTAGACGCCACTCTGACACTACACACAGACACCTGTTACAGGTGAGTCATGCGCCAACATATCTGCCTTTATGCATGCTAAACTGATGTGATAAAGTTATTCCTCTTCCTCGCAATCTTTGAGAGCTGAACTGTGTGTTGGCTCTCTTTTGATTGCAGTGATTTGTTTTAAAAGAAAACATGTGGTTAATGTGAGATAATTGATGTTTTTTATTGAGTCACTGAGGGATCAAGTTGTCCTCAGGGGTACAGGGAGGGAACCATGACACTAAGCTTAAGGAATGAATGAGTGAGAGAGGCATCGCCCATATTTTGGCTGCTTAGTGGCTCTCATTAAGAAAACACAGATGTGGGAAAGAGTTACATGTGAAAGGAGTGAGGACTGGAGGTAAGCGGACTGAAACTATGAAAGGTCTTTAAGAGTCCTGGGACGTAAGCCAGGGGTTTCCCCTCTGACATGAACATCAGTCTAACAGAGTGCGTGTCCCTTTTCTTTGTTCAGTGCAGATAAAGATATAGTTGTGTAACTGTCTTATTCCTGAAAAGCAACACTGTGCAAGTGTTTATGGCCCAATTTAATAACAATGCAACTGTAAAACTGAGCACAAATATACTCTTATGATGTTGTCTAAACTCACAAGAGTGTGTGAGACAAAGCCCCTAACTGTTTTCTGTTTTTCAATAAATTCTTGAGGCTCTTTCAGGGCTGCCTATGAATTAAAACTGATTATAATTTTGGAACATTTGGGTCAAGCTATCAGGATGCATTGCTAACCCACTGTTCTCCTGTGACCAACATGATATCTGCTGCATATTTTATACATCCTGTATCACATAGCAGAACGATGGAGGAGGATGATCATCTGCATGAGACAATTTTGGATTATTTTGTGGTATTTCATTTTATTTTTAAGATATGTTTAGATGACCATCAGAAAGCAACATGATAAGAACATGCTGAAAGAATATTAACTTACTTAGATCTGTTCACATTAGCTGAAAGCTTTAGATGGATACATTTCATATCCAAAATTGTATGTATACAGCTGAATACACTGCCATTCATTTACAGTCAAAAAAATGAAGCCAGCTAGTGCCTAAGTACAGTGGCAACATAAAAGCTTGCAAGGTTTAATAATATAACCTGCTGCCAAGTGCCCTGCCCACTGAGATAATGATTTCCTTTGATTCACTTCAAATTTCACTCCTCTACCTTGCAATTATACACGTCAGAGCATAAAAATGCATGTTGAATAAAAACCAGGAGAGGAAGGGAGGAGACTTAAGACTTGAGAACAAGATAAAAAAGCAGGAAATGGAAGAGATAAGAAAATAAGAGGAAAAGGTGAGAGTAAATACTGGGGGAAAAAAACATGGCGTTGAGCTGGGAAGAGAAAGAAAACAAATAGTGTGAGCTGCAAAAAGGCAAAACACAAAACGTAGGAAGAAGGAGGAAAAATGAGAGATAGATTTAGAGAGTAGGAGGCTTGGAGAGTCCCTCAGTGTGTCTGCTTATCTCTCTCATGCTGATGATGATGAGTCACTGGTGAAGTTGGTTACATAACAGACCCCTCTCTCCCCTGCCTTCAAACTCCTTCCTCTTCACTAAGCAGGTAACACTCACTTTCACATCAGTGGGCCAGTAATAGCAGACAAGCCACGCACTTCCCTTTTTAAAGGAGCGGAGGGCTCTGTCCCTAAAGCCGAGACCGAGCTCCCCACTGACCACGCCAGCATGTGTGCTATTATTAGTGCTGCATCCCATCAGCTCTCACCTCTAGCTCCACTGTTTCACAGAGAGCTGCAGCTTCCCACCAACTGTGGATGAAATAATGCATATTAGTGTGAATATTGGCATGGTTATGTAAGAGAGGATGGAAAAGAGCCAAAAGCTAAAACACCTTCAAATGCAACATAGAAAAAATCAGTTCCATATCACACTTTACTGGTAAACAAAAATATGTTATATATATAGATACCCTCAAGTATTTGTACTTTCTACTTGAGTAGTTGTTTCAGGTATCTGTACTTTTGTTTTTCTGACAACTTTCCACTTTTACTCCCCCCTAAATTTTTACACAAATATCTGTACTACCTACTTCAGTTTTAACACATTTGAAGTGTTGATTATGATTATTATGTTTTTGCATCATTGCACACCTTCCCAACATCAAGACTAGTGCACAGACATGCATGTACTGGTTCATGACAAAAACGCTGAAAACAAAAGACAAAACAGACAAGAGAGGGAGACGTTTTCATTTTCAGTTCTACACAGAAACAGCTGGTTGAAATGTCCTTTAGAGAAACAAGGAAAATACTTTTTACATTTGTACAATTCAGAGCCTGTATTTTCTCACTTTTACTTGAGTAAAGAAGTTGAATCTTCTACTTTTACTGGAGTCATATTTTACACAAATATCTGTACACTTACTTCAGTAAAGAATGTGTGTACTGTTGTTATCTCTGGTTACCCTTAAAGCCTGTGAATATACTATATTCGTGCTGAAATGATTAGCTGATCACCAACATATTATTTAGCAATTAGCAGTTAGTTAGTAGGTTTATTTACATAGCACCTCTAAAAGGTCACAACATGCTTTACAGTAAAAAGGGAAATGCAACAAACATTTAAAAAATAAATTAAGAACACTAGTAGCTTTTTGAAGGTGTGTGCAGTCTCCACACATTAAAAGCAAGCTCCACAAATGGATTCTCCTTTTAGTTATAAGCCAACAAACCCTGATCAGTAGACCTGAGACCTACTGGTGACGTAGGGCAGCAGCAGATCAATATTGTAGTTCGGTGCCTGACAATGCACAGCTTGAAAAGTCACAATGATCACAATAATGTGGAGTTAAATTATGAATTTGATGGTGAGTCAGTGTAGAGAATCAAAGGGGTGACACACATGGGAGGAGGCTCTGGTCAAAGGCTTAGCAGCAGCACTTGTAAGCAGCCAGGGATGGTTTACTGAGGCAGGCGAAGACGGCGTGAGAATAGTTGAGATTGAATTAAATAAAAGCCTAAATTAATTGTTTTATAGTTATTTTTCAGTTTTCTTTAGTTCGAGATTGTCAAAATTGTGGATTTGCAGCTTTTCAAGACGTTAACTTTGGCTTTGAAAGTGGTTCACACAGTTTTCACTTTTATTTCTGACATTTTTATGGACCAAATGAATAATTAAGAAAATAAAATATGCAAATGAATCAATAATGAAATAATCCTTTGTTGCAGCTCAGCCATAAAAGCTCCATTTAAACATTTAAAGCCTCATTGTCCACCTACACTGGGGTTTTTCACTTATGTTGCCTGATTAGACCTCTTGAAGCCTGCGTGTGTAGGCATGTCCTGACTGTGCTTGACAGACATTATTTCCTGTTAAACCAGATTCTGATCCCAAATAAATTGTCCATCTATTTATAAAGCTTTTATACACCCAGCAATAAGTGTTTCTTAGAAATGCAGTATGTCTGTGATACTGACTTGACAGCGTTTATATGTAAACCTCAACTTCTTTTGCATAACAAATTTATGTAAAGAGTCTTTTCACCTCAGGGTCATTCACAACCCAAAATAAAGAAATTTAAAACCAATTAATAGTCAAAATATCTTCACAACTGCACACATGTACAGGGAGAGGAGAAAGAAGAAATACTTAAGCTTTCTTTGATTGCTTGACATCAGTCTGTATAGATGTTAATTATTCACATGTTGCTCGTTATCAAAGGTTTTGTGCTGCCTCACAAGCTTGTTTTATTGTATCCTGAATATTTAGAATTAATTTATTAATCTTTTCATGAAAGAAACCACACATTGTATTCTGTTGAAGAATACATCAAACTAAATGCCACAGCGAGTCAGGACAGAAATCTAATCATTCATTCTGTGGCTGATGATCTATGAAGGCATGGCTCATCTCAAGTCTTATGTTACTACATGATAGACTTTGGTGATACCAGTAAATCCCAGCTTATCTCCACCCAACTTCAACCCGGCTAAAGGTTTAAATGAAAACACCTGTGTGGGTGTGCAGTGCCTCGATGTTATTGATTAATTTTGGCACATTTTCACTTTGTCTTTATCTTACAGGAATAGTATTACTTACATACTATCTGTGTCCAAAACCACATTTTTACTAACTTTAAAAAAAAAAATAGATTATTAAAAAACCTGGTTACTGGTTGATGCATTAAAAAGCTCAGTTTAGTTGGCATGACCAAAACTATGGCGACTCGAAGTGTTCAAGATTTAATATATATATAAGCTGCTCGAACTTACCTCTTTTATTGTGAAAATTCAATAATAATGAGCGGAATTTATCTTTGATTCACAATAATCTGACCATATAATATACATTTTATCTGTATTTATTATTTCATATTGTCTCTCAACACTTTGAGCCTACATACAAAACAGTCTTCTTCTGATTAAGTGAGGGGAAAGATTCTCGTTGGCACAAAAAATGGACGTTAATATTCTGTTAATTGGTTTATTTATGGCAGGAGGGATTCCTTGCTGTATGTCGACCACTTAAGACTTTATTCACTACATGACCAATAGTGGAATTCCTCTCTCTGTGTAAATATAGCCACTGCTGGGTCGATGCACCTGGACATTGCGTGACTGCAATGTAAGTGAAGCAGGCTCGTTGTATCTGATAAAACACAAACCAAGAATAGAAAAAGGACACAGAGTAATGAAAATAACTAAATAATTTAATACATGAAAAAGGTATTTTTGGGGCGTTTTTCTTGTTGCATCATACAACATTTTTAATCCTGTAGTCATGGCTTCTGTTAGCGTAAATGTCATGTGAGTGTATCATAAAAGACACAAAACTATATAGACAAAAAAAACTATAGATGACGGTGATGCTCATCCATCCACTCTCCTATGTTATGGAATCTCTTCAGGATTTCATTTTCTAACGTCATCTGGCTTTACTTCTGCCTCACAGCACTGCCTTTCACAAGAAAGACTTGTATCAATGGCTGCCTCCTAATTATGGCTTCTTTTGTGTTTCTCTGAGGTACAGTGTAAATGCATTGCAGCTTAATGGTGGGAGAACTGTAGGATTCAGGCTGTATAGAGGGAACCCCAGGCCAGCAGGCCAGCATTAATGCTTTAGTTGAGTGGTAGGGCTGTAAATAGCAGCAATGCTCTGTAGAGGTCACTGCGGAAATAATAGGCACCAGGAAAGTTATTTTTACCCCTCTGTAATGATAACAATAAGAAAACATTATGTGTGGGATTTGTTTGGTTGGAAGAGAAAATAAAAAGTGTAATTAAAATCTCACTAAAAGGTGCTCTTAAGTAAGGTTATTAAGTAATTAACACTGTCGTTAATGGTTGTGAGACACACCTCAGTATCACTCCCTGCTAGACGCCGTCTGTGTTGGGCTGACTCACATCCTGCTGACTACAAGCCTGTCAGAGTTTCTCAGCTCTCAGATTGAAAAAGAGAAGATCTACGAAGATAAAATGCAAACGAAGCGTACCAGGCCATTATATATTGTACCTGTGTGTTACATAGGTTAAGATGTATACATCCTTGTTTCTGTGTTGATGGATTAGGAGTTAAGAGCATTTAAAAGTCATCTAACGTACAGACAGGTGACAATTTAAAGGAATCCCTGAAAAAATGAACAGACATTTCTTCATACATCAGGCGCCGCTGATTCATTTGATGACTAAGAAAATGATGTAAATGATATGCTGTGGCCTTTGCAGTCATCATATCTCACCACTATACACCTATAGGAGCATCAACTTTGGTCATCAACTTTTGGATCCTGACTTTTCATCATGTGCCATCATCTTGTCAAATACTTTGTTTTATGACCAAATACCTACAATACTAGTGTTCCCATCAGTAATATGGACTAATGTTAACATGTTAACACACTAAACTGAGACAGTAAAGATGATAAACATTTTACCCTTTAACCCTGTGGTTCTCAACCTGCGGTCCAGGGGGTCCCCACAAAAATGGGTAAAATTTAAATTTCACTTTATTCATCAGCTAAAAATTAGAACAAAGAAGAATGACAGTTATTTTCATATATCTCCCAATCTACAGTATAGACAGTTTTGGAATAAATCAATCTTTTTAGACGGGGGAGACTAATACTTATCAAATACAGATCCATGGCTGGATGTGTATCAATATGAGGGTCCTTGACACCAAAAAGGTAGCACACTAGCATGCTGTGATGTCATTGCTGTCACTGTTAGCCTGGCAAAATTAGCATTTAGCCCAAAGTATGGCTGTGCCTAATTATTCAATTCATTTAAATTAAAAATATATTCCAAATAATAATTTTAAGGCAAGCAAGTTTGCGAACAGTTGTACACATAGACAATTTACACACATAAAAAATCTAAAAATGCAAATATAATCATGTTGGAGTTGAAAAACACAAGTATTAATGGCAGTGGTCAGTCCATATCTAATCATTAATATCTAACACCACAAAGGCTTCATGTCAGCAGTGTCAAAAAATGTAGAGTTAAAACACTTTTGATAAAAGAGGAATTAGAATATTATCTGATCTACTCCAATGGAGTCTGCATAGGCAGTACAGACGCTGCTGAGCCTTTTTCACAATGACATCTGTATTTTCAATCAATCTCAATCTGTCACCAAACACAGTTCCCAAGTATTTGGAAGTCTGGACAGTTTCAACACGTACGCCATGAATGATTGTTGGTGGACAAAGCTGCTAGCGAGGCTTTAGACTCTTGTTTTCATTTTGTTTTTCTAAATAATGTGCTACCGTTTGCATTCCCTATGATGATACCTTTTGAATCCATCCTTTTACAGAGTGAGAAGAAGATGAGCAGTGAGACTCCACCCACCATATCTATGGCCCTGGTGAACCCCCAAATGTCCTCTGCCTCTGCAGATGGCAAAAACTCCTCCACGCAGCAGCTCTCCATCAGTGTGTGAGTCACTGTTTTAAACATGATATTATGATGATGCTGGGCCACAGGTGCAAGATATGGATAGAAAAAAAAACAAGACACACTCAAAAACCCATAAAAAAGACAGTATAATCTGGAGATATATATATATATATATATATATATATATATATATATATATTGTAGAAAGTGTGGTAGTAACATAGACAAAACCCTCTGTGTGTCTCCTCAGGTGTGCCGTCCTGTACTCCTATAAACCACGACGGACAGAGGAGCTGGAGCTGAGGAAAGGAGAGATGGTGGGAGTGTACGGAAAGTTCAAAGAAGGCTGGCTGCGTGGGTTATCGCTCAGAACGGGCAAAGTGGGCATTCTGCCCAGCAACTACATCTCGCCTGTGCTCAGGTGAGAGGCTGTGATCCCTGACTGCATAAAGTGGGAGCTAAATGACATTTGGATTCAGACAGTAATTTTGTGTGGGCAGGACGACATGTCATCATGCACACATTTAAATGATTCATGAAACAGAAATATGACACTGAGGCTGGTGCTTGGCTCAAATAATCTTTTAGTACAGTATAACAAGTTATATACAGTAGGTACTCTCAGCTTGCACTAAAGTGTCTCATTGCTTCACTGCAGAACCTCGGCCAGGCTCCTGGAGACCAAAGCAGCTAATGCGTCCTCGCAGTACAACACAGTAACAGGAAAGAAACCCACAGCTGCCAAGAATCCTGCTGTGGTCCTTGCTCTTGATAGGGTAAACTCTGATGGAACGATATACTCAACAGGACAGGTCCCATCTGTGCCAAATGGAGCACAGCATGCAATGTCATCCACTGGCACTGGAAAACCGTCCCTCTATGGGAGTGCACAAGGTTGGGACACTGTGAGACGCATCTTTAACCCTCATAAAGGTGAGAACCACGTATATCTTGAACTGCTTGAGTAAATTGAGAGATGTTTCCAAGTTGTAAAAGATTGTCTTTTAAATGTTTTTTCAGGCTCAAACCATTTCTCCCATACGTCCAATATGAACGTCCCGTCCAACTCACAGCATTTTGCACAAGTTCAGGCATCCGGCTACTCACCTGCCCTGCAGAGGAAGAAGAACTTCAGCATCCTGTCCAACTCTGGCAGACCACTAGGCTGGATGACTGAGCCACCAGCGCCCTCTGCTGCTGCAATATTTAAGGACAGGGACTTCACTGCCTCACATGAGGCAACATTTCAGCATGACAGACATCCTTCCAATGGGCCTCACTCAATTCTAGTCAGACCTGACTCACACAAGAACAGTACAGACAAGGTAATGTAATACTGAAGATGTCTTGCGAGACATGAGTTTGTTGTTGTTGTTAAGTACTCTGTAAACCATACCTGTGATCACTGTTCTGCATTTGCCTTACAGTAAATATTTTACTCTCTTAGCCGGCAAAATCAGTACGGTTCCTTACAGATGAAGACTCCCCTCCTCCAAGACCTCGGACCTCTTCCTGGTCTTCAGGAAATCAGGTTCCGTCCAACTGCCGCCCTGGCCCCCTTCCGTTGGAAGTGTGGGCCCCATCGCTCACCCTGGGAAGAGACGGACCAGGGATCATTCTCAAAGAAGGAAAAGTTCCTATTCTCAGGAAAGGCCTTGAAACAGCCATCTCAGATCTAAACTCTAACCCGCAGAAACCGATACCATCACAGCCGTCTCTCTCAGCCGTCTCGGCTCAGTTCAGCCCCAGCAGGTACGTTGGATTTCAGCTTATACTTGAAACCTTGATTATCAGACAGACAGGGTAGATTTGAAACTGTTGTATTGATTTGACAGACTGGAAAACAAACCTCTGGCATCTTTTGCTCTCTTTTTTTTCCAGACACAGAGTGACCACAACACATTTGGCCCAGACGGACTCAGAGTTCAGCCTGCTTCAAGGAGAGCTTGTCCTCGTCCACAGACCTCGACCTGATGGACGAGTTCTGGTTACTCAGGAGAGTAGTGGGCAGACAGGTTTATTCCACTGCAGTGTTCTTCAAGCCCTTGAGAGGCTCAGCTGACTGTGTAATACTATTGTAGTACTGTATATTTCTATATTCCATGTGTTCAAATTGCCAAATGATTTGACTGACCTGCTGAACAAGATGCGTGCCAAGGTCCAAAGGTTAATACTGCCAAATGACAATCCTATGAAGGGGGTGTTTATTTTCATCCTGAGTGCATATGAGAGAGTGGTTACTTTTTCCAGAGATATATTATGTGTCCTTCAACGTATGTGCATGTTTGTTACACATGTACTATTATAAGATTTTGCACAAAAACCTGTCTAATGACTGTTCCTTGTTTAATACCCATGTTACACGCATTGGTTAGTGCCTTTGTCAAAACCCACAAAGAAAACAAACTATATTTAAATATATTTAGAGAAATTATGAGGTAAAATATCTGTACTGCTTTGTGTGGTAATAAACTATACTTCTAGAACATCTTTGGTGTCTTACTTTGTAAACTATAATCCTTTAACAGTGGTGGAAGAAGCATTCAGACCCTTTACATAAGTACATAAGTATTATCAGCAAAAATTAAACTTGTTAAAGTATCAAAAGTACTGATGCAGAAAAATGGTCCCTGTCAGTGTTTGCTATTGTATATGAGAATGTTTGATTAATAACCCTAATGCATTAATATGTATGTTGCATTTTACTGCTGTAGTTTTTAAGGTTGTGCTCATTTTAACTACTTTATATACAGATGGGCAGATTAATCTGCAGCAATGCATCATATTCTGTAAAATCGTCATATGTTTGTAGTGCTGGTCAAAATCAGTATTTTTAGTACTGTGCGCGCAGAATAGGCCCTATATAAAGGTCCAGTGTCTATGACTTAGTGGCATTTAGTAGTAGCAGATTGCAACTCAGTCTTCACCCTCCTATTCCAAGCACGAGGGGGAAACTACGGTGGCTGCGTAACGTGCAAAAAAGTGTGAAAGTCTCTATCTAGTATTGGGTTTGTCCATTCTAAAAACATGATGGACTCCATGGATGGTGACCCCTTATGTTTGTGGATTAAAAATGTCTCATTCTAACGCAGCAGAAACATAGCGACTCTTATTTTCAGGTGACTATACACTAATGAAAACACACCTATGAATACTGTATTCCCTTTCTGCCATTAGATTCTCCTAAATGTTACACACTGCACCTTTAACGTGTGTGTAATCAAACACGGCCAACTTGGGGTCATGGAAGATTCTAGCATAGCACTGTCATGCACAATGCACAGTGATTTATGTTTCACTGTGGCCTCTGTGCAGATTAATCCAGTCATGGTGTATGGACATGTGATGGAGTTTCAGACTTTCTGAACTTTAATTTATTACACTGAACTGAATCACCCACACTAAATGCTTTAGCCATTCCACCTATGCTTAATAGTATAATCGTATATAGATATAATATAATAAACTAACAGGATTATGCTATTTAGTAAGCTGCAGGAATCAGGCTGCTGCAAATAACTGCATGAAGCGCATGCGCACTCCGACTGAGCCCTGACAACAAGCTATCGGCTGTGAGTCTTTGATGATATGGGCACTGCGCTGGCGTTTAAATCCCTCGGATAACCTACAGTCAAATGAACAACGCCCTGCAAACATTTCATTATCATTACACATATACTATAATCGCCTCTCTGCGTGTCCACTATGCCGGTAAGTCGCTACGTCTGTTAATATTGTTTTTGTTTTGTTTGCAGAAGCGGGGTTCCTCCCTTCCTTACGACCTCACTGATGTGATGCTAACCGGTTAGCATCCTTAGCGTACAATTTCGCCGTTCCTGCGTGATACAAAGCACATAGTTTACCCCTCCCAGCGTTGGGGTTGGTTGTTTTTTTTTTACTACCAGTCACAAGAAATCATTTAACACGAACTGTGAACAACGTGGTGAATCGTGTTTTCCATATTAGCTGTTAGCCGTCTATTAGCTGGCCGTTAGCAACGCCTGCCTGCATAGCAACCCAGCAAACGGCTGAGACGTCACGTTCAGGCGGCTCTCGGTGTTTTTGTCTGAGTCACTTCACAAGCTAGCAACACGCCGACTGCTTGGTGTTGTTTACTACAAACAACCTCGACAGCTAAATGTCCTTATTTCTGTGGTTATGTCAGTAAATATCCCCTTGCATCCTGTGTCATGAATTCAAGTTAATTCAAGCTGTATATTGGTGTGGGGAAACAGAGGTTTACGTTGCCAAATCAGGTGTGAAATATATGTAGCTTTTATACAGATGAGTAAGAAATGCAAACTTGCACACACTGTCCCTCAGGTTGTGTCTCCTCCTAGGATTGTTTTCAATTATGAGTGGTCACATAGCTCGTTGAAATCTGGGATTACAGAGTTTAACGTGTTGAAATAAATGTTCCTTATATTATCAAATGTTTTCTCAGTGACCACATACTCATGTTTTCTTTTGGTTGCTATGATTTGATGATGATGATTCAGTTTGTTGTGTTTTTCTTTTTATTTATTTGTATTTTTCAGAGCAATAAACTTGAGAAGCCTGACAGGCATGAGGCCAATGATAATGTGAAGGTGGTGGTGAGATGTCGTCCCCTGAACCAGAAAGAGAAGATGATGGGCCACAAACTGGCTGTCAATGTGGACGAGATCCGTGGGACCATCACGGTCAACAAACTGGAGACCCCCCATGAGCCTCCAAAGACCTTCACATTTGACACTGTGTTTGGAACAGACAGCAAACAGCTGGATGTCTACAATCTCACAGCCCGCCCCATTGTTGACTCAGTATTAGAGGGATACAATGGTAAAGTTATTGTGACATTACTTATCATTTTTCATTCATAAACCATTGCTCTAAAATCTGCATCATCAGTGTAATGCCAGCATCAATTGTGTGAGATGTTTTGATACATACAGACACTTAAACATATCCTCTTATGAATCAAATCCTTGAATTTCTGTTTTCTTTATTAACTGTAATATAATATAATATAATAATTACTATTATTTGTTTTATCTTTCGTTTTCATTTTCCATACTGGCACAGATGGTGTGAGTTAACGCTCTGTTGTCCATTTCAGGCACCATTTTTGCATATGGGCAAACTGGCACAGGAAAAACATTCACCATGGAGGGTGTGAGAGCGGTGCCAGAACTCAGAGGGATAATCCCAAACTCCTTTGCTCATATTTTTGGTCACATTGCAAAGGCAGAGGGTGACACAAGGTAAGAAAGCAATCAATCAGCAAAATGAGCAAGCAATATTTTGTATACTCAAAAAATGAGATGCTTTTTTTCCCCCTTCCACACACGATTAGTCCAGCTTACGATTCCCACTGTATATCAGTGCCAAATAAAGGGAAAACTTTAGTGTACATCTCTCAATTTACAGCTTGTAAGTCATATTTTTATTATGCCAACTCTTATCGTCTTAAAATAAATGTACAGATTCACATCCAAATTCTACTGTAACAGGTTTGGATGATACTCTCTCCCTGAGATAATCCTGACAACAACAAGGGCAGATTTGACCTATTTCACAAGGTGTAAAACAAGTAAATAAATGTAATCTCTGTCCACAGGGATCATGTGAAAGTAAGTGTATTCTACAACTGTACAGCAATTTAAGCCAACTGAAAGATCATTGATAGACAAAGTGTAGTCTTTTTAAGACTGCTGAATAAATTAGCCTAAATTAGTAGGCCACATATGCTTTACAGACTGCTTAAACACAATAATATATAAACTATATAATAAACTAAATAGTATGGCAGCTTGCAACTCAGGTAAGACCACATCTGAAAAATACCTGCACTTAAGTCTAAAAGGATAAGAATTGAGACCTTGTTTTTTTTCAGAATTTAGTCAGAGGTCACTGATTATTTTGATTAAGAGCCTGATTGAAATTCCTTCAGGCTTTTATTTTCTTAAAGAAAAGAGTTTATTTGCACTAAAACTATCTTTTCAAGTGTCTTACTAATGAATGGAAGGTTGGATGTCGGCCTATAGCTGTTGTGCAGTGCACTACCATCTAGGTTGGGTTTCTTTATTTAGGGTTTCTGGGAAGATGCCTGTTTGAAGAGATGCGTTGATAATTGTCAGGACACAACTATCAAACACCCGCTTAAAAATGTAGGTACAGGATGAATACATGAGGTAGAGGAATCACTTGAGACAGTTTTGCAAAGCTCAGTTAATGTAATACAAGTGAATTTTCCCATGGTTAAATCTTTTTGCACAGGTTTTCTGAGGTCAGCTGTGTTTGTATCAGCAGCAGTGCTGGCTCTTATTGGATTTTGTTATTGAAGAATGATGCAAGTTTTTCAAAATGTGATGCAGAGAACTGCTGATGAGTGGGGAAAGTGTTAATTAGCTGATCAATAGTAGAGAGTTTCTCTGTAATAATCCTGGAAAAGTAATCCTTTTTTGCTAGAGGTATTACTTTTTTTCTTTCTTTCAGATGCTCGATAAATTCTCTTAATTAACATTTATTGACATTATCACTTAACCACAGGGAGATTATCAGTCGACCTCTTTTTAATCTTCAGTGGAGCAACAGTATTTAAAGCAGATGACAAGAAGAAAATGAAGCAACAGTTTTATTCAAACGCATAAATATGAGTCTTTCTGAATTAAAGGGGAACCTTCTGTTGATCGCTTTCTAAGTAAAACGACATTCAAAGATGGTTTCTTTGAAAACGACAAACATGTCAATAATGACTAATATTGGACGAGGTTATGCATTTCTGATTTACTCAAGTAAAGGAGCTTGTTCATATTCAGAAAATGCAAAGTAAGTTGGATAAAGCATTTAAATAATAAATGTATTCATTGAACGTATTATTAAAGGTTAGCCCATCCCTTTTAGAAAAGGAGAAAGTTTATTATTCTGATTAGGTTGCTTATGTGGTGCAGTTTGTTTCTGATTGAGACTTTATTAGTAGAATTATAGACAGCATTTATACAGAGCTCTTGTCAAGCGGCGCAAGTGTTATGAGTGAAACATTTTCTTACATTTACTCTTTTGCTTTTTGCAGTTTTTCTTTTCAGCATTTATCTGATTTTGAATACACATTTGACTTCTACAGGTTTTTGGTCCGTGTTTCGTATCTGGAGATTTACAATGAGGAAGTGCGAGACTTGTTGGGCAAGGACCAGATGCAGAGGCTAGAGGTAAAAAAGATATTTAAATTCAACACTAAAACATGAAGTTCACTTCAGGGATTAGTAACAAATCTATCTTAGAGGATCTGTCATAAAGGGCACTGCAGTAATTTTTTCTAAGGGTAAAATTTGCAGGAGATGGATGTATAGATTGGCTTGTATTAACTGTTTGACATTGACATCAGTTTTCCATGATAAAATTGTATTTTTTTCATCACAGGTGAAAGAAAGACCAGATGTTGGCGTGTATATCAAAGACCTCTCTGGTTACGTCGTGAACAATGCTGATGACATGGACAGGATTATGACACTGGGCCACAAAAACCGTGAGCAAAATAACCAACAGCACTAAAACATACATTTATCTTCTATTAGTCACTGAGATATTTATCTGCGAGTGCGATTTATCATACAACCACATGAATGAGACAATAAAAAGCTCCTTTCTGTCAAGAAATGGAAATATAGACAAACATGAAAAGATCCTTAAACAGTCTCGCAACTACACCCTTCAGTTCTGCTAGCTCCCTCCCTTTCAGCAAAAAAAACAAAAAAAGAGCCCGACCAGCAAAGGACGAGAGGCGTGGCCTCGACATTGACTGGCAGTGTAACAGCGAGCTGTTGAGCAGCTGCTGTTAGGCATTCATGTGTTTCATCACAGTATAGTCATATAATTCAATTTACAGATAATAAAAAAACATGTTTTTGGGTGCATTTAAATAGTAACTAAACCCACCAAACCACTTTTTTCTGCTGAAAACCTGTGTGTGTATATATATATATATATATATATGTGTGTGTGTATACGGGTATTTAGTAATGTTCAGTAAGTATTGTGTAATGTTCAGTTTAGTAATGTGTAATTCAGGTCAGGTCAAATCTTGACACTTGCAGTACTTGAATTCTACATATTATGCTATAATATGCATTGCGACCTCCCCCTACTGGTTGAAACCTGGCTATTGCAATTGGATTTTACTATTGGCTGATCTGGAGGCAGGTGATGTATGTAGTGACAGCTTTCATCACCAACCTAGAAATTCGGTGCCAAGAAAATAACAAAAACTTTGCTCAAATAATAAAGTTAGGAAGTATGTCGTCATACGTACTCATAAGAATCCTGTTGTCTGATCAAATGTTATTTCACTGTGTTTAGGCTCTGTCGGTGCCACAAACATGAATGAACACAGCTCCCGTTCTCACGCAATCTTCACCATCACCATCGAGTGCAGTGAGAAAGGAGTAGATGGAAACCAGCATGTGCGAATGGGAAAACTTCATCTGGTTGATCTTGCAGTATGTAGTCTGTATTCTTTTTAACAGAAATCTCTGTGTAAAAGTAAACCACTTCAGAGAAAATGAGATCATGCAGATGTTACTATATATGGATGTGTGCCTTATCGCCCACAATCCATCTGACCATCACAAATTAATCTGTCACCCTAACCCCTATAGGGTTCGGAGAGACAGGGCAAGACTGGAGCCACAGGTCAGCGTTTAAAGGAAGCGACAAAGATCAATCTCTCTCTCTCCACTCTGGGTAATGTCATCTCTGCCCTGGTGGACGGCAAGAGCACACACGTGCCCTACAGGAACTCCAAACTAACCCGTCTGCTGCAGGATTCACTAGGAGGAAACTCCAAGACCATGATGGTAGAGTGAAAGTTTGAAAACAGTAGTAGAAGCATCTGTGTTCTTCTAAGCGACAGTTGTTTCATTTCAGAGATCAATAAATCTGCAAATTGACATTTTCTAAGTATTTGTAAATTCTAACCTTTTTACTCAACTTTGACGTTACAGTTTTTACTTCACTTTTTAAATGTAAAACTTCTCCCCGCCAGTGTGCAAATATAGGTCCTGCAGACTATAACTATGATGAGACCATCAGTACCCTGCGCTATGCTAACAGGGCTAAAAACATCAAGAACAAAGCCAGGATCAATGAGGACCCTAAGGATGCCCTATTGCGCCAGTTTCAGAAGGAGATTGAGGAGCTAAAAAAGAAACTGGTGGAAGGTAATAAGCAGACAGCAAGAAATAATCATGATGTTTGGATAACAAGTATTGTTTAAAGGCTGACTCATCTCTTTTTTAAATGTTTTTTTGTGCGATTCTAGGTGAAGAGATCTCTGGCTCAGAGGGCAGCGGATCAGAAGAGATGGATGAAGGTGATGATGAAGGAGGGGAGGCAGGAGAAGGCCGCAGGAGAAGAAGAGGTAAGAATCTGTAATGAATGCACACATGGATTTAAGTGTGCATTAATGTCAGATGACTGAAAGTCTGCTGGTGCAATCTTTGTAAGCTGTAAGTTTTTTTTCATGCAGTGGTGTGGTTTTGGTGAACATTTAGATGTATATCTGTGTAATTTGTGTATCACATTGAATCTCTTATCATTATGGTGTTCATTGTAATTTGAGTCAGCATTCAGTTCCTCATAACTATCAAGTTGAAGTTGCTTTGAAGTTACTAGTTTAGTTTGGCCTCTGCTCTTGTTAACAGGCTTCCATAAACAACACTGTTCTCATTTAGGAGTTTCCCTTGTATTTCTCACCTTCTACTCTTCTCTGCTTTTAAGTGTTAAATACAGATGAAAATCATTGTTAACTCATCATGTTATGTGCTGACTCTAATGTTCCAGAGATGCCATGTTCTTTCCAATACTATACTATTAGCTTACTCTGTATTAATAATAGCCAAGTCATTCAACCTCTGTGAGTATGGTGCTGTATGTTCAATTTGCATGTGTGGATCGACAGCTGCCTGATTTGTTAGACTTACATAAACCACCTATATTTTGCTTTAACCTCTGCAAACCTATTGCTCATAGAGCTCTCCATTTCTACTTGTTTCTCACTGAGGGCTTTGGTGGGATTGGTGCTTCCTCTGTTTCTTTTCCAGACAGTGGCAGCAGCAGCAATAGCTCAGAGTTTGCCTGCTCAGTACCATGGCCCACTGAGGACAAACCTCAGAATAGTGAGTTGGAGCAGCACTCTGCTCTACCAACCCACCTGCCCACAAACTTAAGCCCTTTTCATACATAGAACGCGTAAAATGGCTGGTTTTAAATTAAAATATAAGGCAGGGTTTTGGACGTTCACTCCTCTATACAGAAAAATTCCATGTTGTGTCTGTCGCTCATGACCAATCCAGATTTTAATAATATATATATTGCACAGCTTGTCTGTGATTAATAAGCATATTTTGCAGAGGATCAGTTTATTTATCTCCATTTCTTGATTACTGAACACAGGCAGTGCTTTGGGAGGCTAAAGTGGGGGTACTTAAGCATCCGCAATAGTTGTCAAAACACCCTGTAGCTCCCCTTGAGGAATGTTCCCTGAGATTTTTATCATAAATTAAATATGACAGAGAATTCTGCAGGCTACTTTATGCCGTCAGTCATCAGCCAGACTGCTTTAGTTCAAAAATGAATAACATTTCAAAGTATTTCCTGATATGCTTGCATGCCGTTTGTAAATATTTTGTAAACATTTGGCATGAATGTACATTGAAAATTGAGTCACTTGATTGATGTGTGGGGGGTTTTTTTTGGTCGCGCTGTGTGTGTAGGTGTGTTTTTTTTTTTTTTTTTAAGGGGGGATTTCCTGATGACTTGATGTCGCATCTACAGCCTGAGTCGTATTTCCTTTCTAAAGTGGTCGGCTCATTAATTTTTGTAACCCTTATGGTAGAGTATGTGAAGTAAGCGGCTCAGCTGTCTGAAGAAGGGTGCACCTTGTTCATATTATAATACAGCAGGCCTGCATAAACATTTGAATTTAACATAAACAAGGAAAATGTACCTCTGTTGAAATAATCTATCTGCAGAAAAACAAAAAGTCAAACAGACAAAGATTTAAGTGGTATTCGGTGAAAAGATCTTGGACATATTGGAGAAGTGATTCGTTTTTGGGACATACTCGGATCTAAGTGTAAAATCTGGAATTGCTTACTAATTTTTAATTTTATGCTTTGATCAGACAGCAGAGAGATGACAAGAAATGAGGGAAGAAAGAGAGAGAGAGAGAGGCTGTGGCTGTGGCCGCAACAAAGTCAGTCGGATGTGAACAGCGGCGGTTCATGACTGGCACCTTAACCATTAGACCAAGTTCCTCTGGAAAGATGTCTTAGCATCTTTTCCAGTGATTACATGTTTCCCATAATTGTCCGTCACAAAGTGTTATAATACTGATCTAGATCCAAATGCAGATACAAATTGCTGGATATTTTCCATTATTAAACTTAAAACATTTTTAAATGAACAACTTTAGAGGCATGTGCAGCCTAAGTTTAATGAGGCATGTGATCTCTTTCTAGTTTGCATTGCATTATTAATTCAGAAACTGACAATGTTTTTTTTTTAAGAACCAACCAACCTTCTCTGGTGATGTTGTTAATTTAATTGACTCTTGAGCTGTTTAAGGTCCTGAGTAGGCAAATGCCCAGAGGGAATTTTAATCGAGCATTTATGAATTGCATTGCATGTGTGAAAGGGGCTTAATACTTTCACTTTGTCTCTACTATTCCTGTTGGCTCACAGCCCAGATCCCCCCACTGTTACCGACCACACTCCTCAATTTTTATGTCACAAATATTGTTAAGATATTCGTGCAAATGACTGCAAAGGTGTGCAAGCGTTGACAAAAAAGTGAATTCAAATGGGACTGTTGAAGTGATCAGTTCAAAGGACTGATCTTATCTTTTTTTCACGCATGACCTAAAGGACCACACTTTTAATATCCGAGACTGTTGCTGGATGACGATTTCAGTTTTTGCTTACACCTCTTCCAGGCTGTATTGTGTCATCTCTAACTCCTGTCCTTCAAAGACGTAATTCACCCACATCGTGTTTCATTATTTGTAGTGATTTCTTTTGTTTTTTTGCCTCATGTCCAATCACTGTCACTCCCCCTAAAACGTTTTGTTATTATGACTGAACCCTCTTTTTCTGTTTGATTTCCCACTCCTTGTCCTATACGTGGTGTTTCACCCTATAGAGTCATAAGACTTTCAAGATCACTCCATAATGTGTTGCTCTTTGTCTCTCTCTCTCTCTTTCTCTTTCTCTCTCCTCTTCCGGGGCGCAAATGCTGCCTGTCTGGCTTGCTATGCACCTCTTAATTCAAGAAGAAAGAGGTTGGTGTAAGAATATACGTAGTCCTACTGTCATGTAGCAGTGGTGTCTCTACTTGCTAAAATTTTCCAGATGCTGCCGTGTCACTAACTCTAACACTAACTGACTTATCCGATAATGTATTGTATAATCGCTGTTAACCTTTTCTGTCCCTCCATATATGACTGCCACCCATGAGTCTCATGTTTCTCGTCTTCACAGCCACCATGTCATTAAGATAATCTTGCACTTTATATAGTTGAGCTTATTTTCACTTTTTGCTTAAACTAACGATAATTATTTAATACTGTGCATTAACAAGTCAGAACATTGTGTTGCTGGATCTCGCTGGCACTCACTGTTAGGACTGAGGTTCGTTCAAAAACACTTATGAATTTGACTTATGTAGAACAGACGTATGAACATATTAAATAATACCAATGCTGATAATCTGCATTGGTATCATTTAATGAATTTATCTGCATTTAAAGTATTCTAACCTCTACACTTACGAGTACTTGGTATGGGAAGATGCACCTAAAGCTACCTATGAATTAAAGACACTATGGTTCCCTCTGTCTCTCTTAAGGGAGGAAGAAGGTTTCCCCAGACAAGATGGTGGAGATGCAGGCAAAGATTGAAGAGGAAAGAAAGGCACTGGAGGCCAAGCTAGACATGGAGGAGGAGGAGAGGAACAAGGCAAGAGCAGAGCTGGAGAAGAGGGAGAAGGATCTCCTTAAAGCCCAGTGAGTTCATGAAAGAAAAAAAAATATTTGTACTGAACTTTTTAAATGTGATTCGTTATGATACAAATTAAATAATCTGGAATGTCTTCTTAATTTTAAGATGATGTGGTAATACCTCTACCTCTAATTTCTCAGGCAGGAGCATCACCTTCTGCTGGAAAAATTGTCAGCCTTAGAAAAGAAGGTGATTGTGGGCGGGGTAGACCTCCTGGCTAAGGCTGAGGAGCAGGAGAAGCTTTTGCAGGAGTCCAACAATGAACTGGAAGAACGTCGCAGGAGAGCGGAGCAGCTGCGGAGGGAGCTAGAGGAGAAAGAGGTGAGGATGGATCACAGTTAGCGTAGTTGATTCCACAAAATACAATTTTTTCCAAAAACCAATCAGTCTACCAAATACTTCATCAAGTAGATCAGCTGGTAGACCAAGTTAGGTAACCAGATAATATCATCTAATGATCATCCTGGAGTAAAATGCTTACTGTTGTATTTGTTTGTTTGCTGAGTCGAGATCTAAGCTATGATCTAACTATCAAAAAATAAGTTGATGCATTTGTACAATTCCAATTTCATCTGCCACACAAGCAAAATGAACCCCGGACATGCCTTACCGTGGGTGGGGAAATACAACATCTGTTACTACAGTCTACACAAGGTGGTAATTGCCGTATCAGCTGGATTTACTCTTAAATGGCTGCGTCTTTGTGGTCGGAAAATATGGTTAGAAGCTCAAAGTCATACTCTTGCTTTCTTTGTATTCATGTGAAAAAATACTGAGTTCCAAGAACAGCCAAGGAGACCTGTGTCATTTTAGTTTAAGATATTTTGGACGTAAAATATTTATTTCAGAATCTTTTGCCATATTGTCTACTGTCTACTAATGCTCTTTTATATATATGCATAACTGTACATTTTAGTCTATGTCTATGCTGTTAGTCTGTGTTTGTACATTGAGAGCAACGTGAAACCGGACTCATATTCCTTGTATGTGCACACATACCTGGCCAATAATAGTGATTCTGATTCTGATGATGCAAATATCAGGGTTAAAACAATTTTAAGGCATAATTTTGACTTGGGCCTTTAATCTGTCTAGTTTCTTCACAGTCATGACCAAAGACTGCAGCTTGCTTGTAGGCTGAGTTTGCTTCTGCTTAATCACTCATCCTCTTCCTCTTAAAACAGCAAGAACGTCTGGACATAGAAGAGAAATACACTAGTCTCCAGGAGGAGGCTCAAGGAAAGACCAAGAAGCTGAAGAAAGTATGGACCATGCTGATGGCTGCCAAATCAGAAGTAAGCATAACCTGAAATTGTTTTTCTCCTTAGCCTCTTATGAGAGACTATTTATAAAATACTTTTTTAATCAATGCTTAAACTTCTAAGTTCTGAAACTCAATTTGATTAATCAGGGGAGCCAAATAAATTCATCCACTGTGGTTGTTGTGTTTTGTCTGTTAGATGGCAGATCTGCAGCAAGAGCATCACAGAGAGATCGAGGGTCTCCTGGAGAACATTCGTCAGCTGAGTCGAGAGCTGCGCCTCCAGATGCTCATCATAGACAACTTTATTCCCCAGGAATACCAGGTGTGTATTTGTACTCATATTAGTAGCTCCACCACTCCACCGAGGGCACAGAGCGTCACAGAGAATATTCTTGAGTTAACAACATTTTTAGATTTTGCACTTTTAAAATGTAAATAATAAAACACGTGTAAGAATAGCAGTAGCTGTCTCTACCTGCTGGCAGTGCGGCTTGGTGCTTGTGATTCTGCTTTGCATTAGTGACAGTGTCTGTCCTTGTTTCTAGTATTTATATTTTCTCATGTTTTTCTGTATAGGAGATGATAGAGAATTACGTGCACTGGAATGAAGACATTGGAGAATGGCAGCTGGTGAGCTCACTTTGCATAACTCATGCACAGACTGCGATTTGATTGACATGAATTTAAAAATGCATACTCTCAGTTGAGGAATACTTACCATAAATCTTTTTCCTTCATCATATGTCTTTCAGAAATGTGTGGCATACACTGGCAACAATATGAGAAAACAGACCCCTGCTCCAGACAAAAAAGAAAAGGATGTGAGTTCTTGTTTTTGTGTAATGATGGGATGTTCCTGAGCTTTTTCTCTTTTCCCTCCTTGATAATGTATTGTTGGCCTCACCTTTCTTCTGTCCCTGCCTCCTGTAGCCATTTGAGGTGGATCTGTCCCATGTGTATCTGGCCTACACAGAGGAGAGCATGCGGCAGTCACTGATGAAACTAGAGAGACCCAGAACCTCTAAAAGCGGCAAGAGTGGCCGGCCAAAGACTGGACGAAGGTAATCTACTTTCTCCACATCCCTTAGAGCATTACTGATATACCAGTCCACTTTGTAGTTTCTTACAGCTTGTTTCTTCCATCAGTCTTTACATTTTCATCATTTCAACAATGTCTTATGTGGATGTGATTTAATGCAGCTGTCTCCCCTGGGCTACATGCAATTCAGGGTCGGTCCTGAAACTGAAACAGTAACAGTTAAGCTGAGTAGCTAATAACTAACTAAACATGACTCAACTCAGTGCTGATCAGGGATTGGATAAATGCAACAACAGCACTTTTAAAGGCTTCTGTTTGACATGTGTATGTTGAAATTGTGAGCTTTTTTTTTTTTTTTTTGCTGTTGCTAATCATGTGACAGGGAGAGAGATGTCTGATTGCAGCGTAATTTTAATGTGTCTTCAGCTGCTAATATCACAGGGGATCTCTTCACTCTGCACTTCCACAGATCATTCACTCATGTAGTTACACTTTGAATGATTGTGTATGCATCTTGGAGAGAGTGATGCATTTACACTTTTTTGTCATCTAGGTCAAGTGTGTCTCAGCCACCCCCAATGTGGTTTGAACATATTCAAGTTCATGTCTAATGTTTGTTGGTTGCATTTTCACTATTTTTATATCAGATCTTTATCTGATTTGCAGACACAGGACGTGAATAAGTGTCTTGAAAGCAAAAACCTGATTCTGGGGTAGTTTGTTCACACAGTTAGCTGAATAATCTGCAACCTTTAGCCCCTCACAATTTCAACTCGTAATTTCACAGTTTTTCATCTGAATTTCAGTGAGACTACATTTAGTTATTTGTTGTGAAAGTTTGGCCACACTGTACAATTGCATCTATTTATAGCTTGTAGATATGAAGCGTTAGCATGATGGTATTTGCCATTATCATGATACACCGTAATTCTGAGAAATGTGAACGCCATAAGCTGCCTGAAGTTGTTGATAACGTTTATCGTGTATTCATCTCCACACAGGAAAAGATCTGCAAAGCCAGACGCTGTGATCGAATCCCTCCTGCAGTGAACACAGCCTAGAGAAGAGTTTGGTCTCACTGTAGCTTTTATGTTACTTTAGGAAAAGAAGTCATTAGTGCAGTCTGAAAAATTTATTGTTGAATATTATTTAAAAGACGATCTGAATACACTGTATAGTTGGTTAAATGTGAAGGAGGTGTGCCTATTATAGGATCAAGACCTCTTATGTTACTTGTATTATAATCTAAGACTTCTTTGAAGATGTCCAACATTTTAATGGAACACATTTCTGCAGCGGCAGCCTCTGTGAAATAAGTTATTTTATCCAAGCACCTCTAGCATTAAGGAGAAATTTACCATGCACATATTTCACTTGCAACATCATTGGTTATGATATGACCAACTCTCTGAAGGAAGTCATAGAACTGACAGGATGTTGAACATATAATTGAAGACATGAACTGGAAACTGCATTCATGTTCATATTTTGTGAAATTTGTTAAGTGTATTTAACACACAAACTGTTTGGCAGTGAACCGCACACTGATTCTGTATTATGGATTTCCTGCTATTTGAGAAAGTGGTTCATATTAAATAAGTCGTGCTGATATGAATGCATTATAATCTAATATAATTAACGGTGCAATTTCACTCAAATTAAAGCAAATTATTCTACTCTGAGTATAAGTTGTAGCCTCAATGTTTCTTCCCATTGAATACAAGAAATCATTAACATGGAGAAAAACTAAAACGCTAATGTGGAGGGAACAAGGAGAGGAGAGTGTGTAGTATCAAATATGTAACTGAAAAGTGTGTTTTATACTTCTTTTAGATCAGACACGTAGGGGCATGCATGCCAGCCAGCTCTTATGTTGGTGCCATTTGCTAATCTAAGCATTAATCATTTACAAATGTCAGAACACTTTGTGTTATATTGAAATACCCTATACATACTGTATGCCTTAGTATAATGCACTAGTATGAGGTTTTTGTGGACATGATTTCATTTTATGATGTTCTGTAGATGGAGGAAAACTGGCTTTTATTTTGTATCATAATGTATGTCAAATGTTTACATCCACCAAACCCCTGGATATTTTATTCATTAAATTATTTTACACGTTATATCTCACATTCTTGCCGCTCTTTCCTGTTTCATGAGTAAATCAGTGATACTCCTCATTTTTTGTTGGATCTTTGAAAATTTTTTATAATGGAACGTAAAAGCCGCAAACCTAAATAATGTTGGTGTTTAAAAAAAAGTACCCTTGCGTTCAAAAAGTGTTGTTCTTCAGTGTGAAACAGCTGTTACTGACTGCACAGACACCTGAATCATTATAAACTGGTGTGGAAAATAAGAGACTGTCATGAAAAACCACTGTCACATAATTTATTGGTGTTTGAATACAAATAAAATGCAAAAATAACATTTGTAAGAAAATAAATAGAGCATTTTACAATAAATAGAATAATTTTTTTTAAAGTAAAGTCACATAACAAAGGCCCGCCAGTCAGATTCAAACCCTGGGCTACTGCAGCAAGGACTCAGCCTCGGTACGTGGGTTGCCAGCTCTACCCACTGAGCCAACTGGGCACACGATAAATAGAATAATTTACTTAAATAACACGTGATCACTCGTAATAATTTGTGGGGTGATTGCTCAGTTTTTCCCAGGACACTTGACAATACATGTCTTGATGTCCTCAAGAACTCTGTGCACAGTACATTTGGGGTGCTCCTTCAGGTGACAGTCTGTCTCATTGAGCTTCTGAAACAAAATTATTTTGACAATTTTAATTTTAATTGCACGAAGATCTATTGAATCTACTGAATACAGAACACGTGTGACATTAAAGATCATATTCATTAGAACTGATGCCATTTCAAATTTTGTTTATAAATGTTAGTTTGTTTTCAGACTAAAAAGCATATTGAACATTGAAATCCTCTTTACCTTGTTGTACTGATGCAAGTGATGGGTGAGTCTTTTTAATTTGTGGTTTTTGCTTTGGTTCAGAGCCTTCTCAGCGAGACAGGAGAACTCTTTCTGTAACAACAAAGGAACAATTAATAACAGTTAGGACTGAGTTAGTCTAGAGGAAACCAGCAAAACTTCCACAGTGTGGACATTACACGAAACACCACTGAATACAATAATCACAATAATTATAAAATCTTTCAAACGTACCACACATGTTTTTAATCCAGTTATCCATGGAATCATTTCGCTGTTTTCCTTCAATGACAAGATAAGAACGTCAGTATAATCAAACAAACAAACAAACAAACAAACAAACAAACCAACCACATATGGTTTTGTAGTTCTCTTACCTCTTCTGTCATATTGTGTAACATCAGATTTGCGTCTTCATGAATTAGGTGTCTGAGATTGTTAGCACTGGCGTTAGTACATCCATCATGACTTCGTTTCTGCCTAACTCTTTTGCTTTGATGTTGTGAGAGTGATGCTGCATAAACCACCACAATCATCATCATCACTGAGAAACTCTGAATACTGAAGTTTTTCATGTTGTTGAAAGAGACCGTGAGCCAGCACTGTCAGGTTGAGCATAAAAAGCTGAATACTCTACACACTCTTACTACCGTTGCTTATATTGTCATGTCTTTGACCACGAAATACCGACGTCAGAGGAGGAAGACACCAAATAAGGAGTAGGTGATGATGGGTATCTTTTGCTATCAGTTCTTCCACTAGGTGTGTAAATTGTAAGGTTATCTGTTACTTAAGAATTACCTCACCCTTATCAGCAAAGTTTTTTCAAGCAATCACCTTAATTTGACATTTAATGTGTAAAAAAACTTCTTTACTTGACTTCTTGCAGCAGAAAAGCAACTTGATGACCCGGTTCCATTAAAGTGTGTGACAGTGAGCCAGCGTGCAGCCATAATTAATGTAAATATATTATTAGTAACACCTGTGCTTTTTCTGTCATGACAAGTCAAAATGACTGCTCTGAGTAGGCACATGGGAAATATTTTGAGTCAGGTTTAAGCTTTATCCCACACATCAGAAAGAGGAAAATGTGACTGACTGAAAAACTGAAAAAAAGTCCTACTGAGCTTCATTTTCATTTTAAGACCCCACATCAGCTGATGTAAGTTCGCTCATCATTCTTCAAATACAGAAGACTTCTGTTGCTATTGATACTGGAAACAGTAGTTTAACTTAAATATTACTCAAAATAACAAAAATAAAAGAATTTGGTTGACTGTCAGACCAGCTGGTCATAGGAGGAGTCAGTAACTAAGTTTTAATATTAACAAGCAGAAGAGAGTAACTGTTTTATCCGATGGAGGTTTAAGCTTGTATCTTTGCATGCTCTGCAACACGTTGCATCTCCACATTTTACATCTACTATCTAACTAACTGGTAACCTTTGAAGAAGAGCTCCATCTTCAGGTAAAATGTATAACCTATAGGGGTCATAATACTCACACCAGTTTATTTTATGAGGCGCAGGATGGGCAGAGATGCTACAGATGATCATGTTCTTTTAATTATGTGTAATTAGAAAGTTGTAATGTTAAAATTTGGGAGAGATTTCTTTCATAAAAAGCACATTTGTTTATGAAATACAACCAGTGGTTCCAACATTTTTGGCTCACAAAAACAGCAGTTTGGTTGGAGACCATTTCTGTGACTTGTTAGTTCCTTTTCCCCATTAATCGTCTTTCAAAATGCCAAATATACTGTATCATGTGACCCTTTGGAGGAGGCCCAACCCCGGAACTGGGATTCACTGGACCCCCACTAACCATCTGCAAAAGAACTAACCCTCAACCAGCTAACCGTAAATGCATACTCACTGATGCATCTATATATACATTTTTCTGTGTTGAAAACTTATTGTAAATGGTTGAAAACCAGAGTTGTTCTTAGCCCTTCACTCGTAATCGCACAATTCCCCGGGTGGAGTCTGTTGACCAATCAGAGGATGTGTGGGTTTGGTGTGTGACACATTTCGCAGTGGAATAACATATAATACCCATTTACCATGACCAACATCTGCTTCATTAACCCCAGAGTGTCATCATGAAAAAAAGTTTCATAATCTTTCAAAAAATTTCATCAGATCAAAATGTTACTAAAATATATACTTACACTTTTTTTTTTATGTAATCTGGTCTGATTAAATTATATTAATAGATTATATTATATATTACTACTATATCATCAGTTACTACCCAACACTTTTATATATATATTATATTAATATATTATAATATTATATTATATATTACTACTATATCATCAGTTACTACCCAACACTGATATAATATATATAATATATCCAATCCAACTTTATTTGTTAAGCACTTTAAAAACAACCAAAGTTGACCAAAGTGCTGTACAGGAGAATAAATAAGACATCATAAATGTAAACAGTGATGGTGATGATGAAGACCACTGTGAGGAATATAATAAAATACAATATAATATATTAATATATTATAATCTTATATTATATATTACTACTATGATAGTTACTACCCAACACGGATATATATATATTTATTTATTTATACATTTTCAGCATTATGAGTAGCCTACTTTTACTTTTAATGTTGTCAGGATTTTGAATGCAGGACTTTTACTTATAACTCAGAATCTATCTATCTATCTATCTATCTATCTATCTATCTATCTATCTATCTATCTATCTATCTATATTTATATCTATCTATCTATATTTATATCTATCTATCTATCTATCTATCTATCTATCTATCTATCTATATTTATATCTTTCTTTCTTTCTATCTATCTATATTTATATCAATCTATCTATATTTATATCTATCTATCTTTCTTTCTTTCTTTCTTTCTATCTATCTATCTTTCTTTCTTTCTTTCTATCTATATTTATATCTATCTATCTATCTATCTATCTATCTATCTATCTATCTATCTATCTGTCTATCTTTCCTTCTTTCTTTCTATCTATCTATATTTATATCTATCTATCTATATTTATATCTATCTATCTACATCATGTTGACAACCGGAGCACGGATGTAGAAACAAAACATCGCGCCCCTCACTGTATCAGCAAATGAATGAAATGGAAATAGAGCCAGCAGCGTTTCACTTCCCCCCAGAAAGAGGTTCCTCTCTTCGGCTAAACGAATCAATAAACTCCGGTGAGCCTCGTAGCGCCTGGACCAGTCAGCGCGGGAGAGCGCTCAGCCAATAGGAAGGCTCGCTGGATTTAGGCTAGATGCGCCATTTTACTGCGTCCACAGCAAGATGGTCCCATTGCTTTGTCTCCCCTGACCGGAGTTGTTTCGGTATTCTGTGGCTTATTCTCGCCCTCGTACCATCGAAAATCTGCTATTTGGACTGAGCCGGGCCACCCGTACCGCAAACGAACCGTGTCTCTGTCTGTCGAGAAATGACGACGGCGAAAAGCAGGTACGAAACTCCCCGTGTAGCCTGTTTTGTTTAGACGAGTCTGTTCTGCGTTGATTAACTGTGCTACCGTTTTCAGGCTAGCGGCGAGCGAGCGCCATGAGTGCCTGTCGCTAGTTAGCATGCTAGGCTAGGCTAGCGTTGTTAGCCGTTAGCTGCGCAGCCGGCAACATTTAAGTTCGCACACACGCAGATTCGGATGCGCACCGGCGTGTTCCGGGATGTTTATCAAAGTCACGGATGTTCAAGAAACGCCGTTGCCTAGTAAATATGCGGCGGGTCTGTTTTGTGTTGTAGCTGGACGGTAAACGGTGCAGTGCTACTCTGGATGCTACAAGGCAGTGTCAGGCTGCAGCTAGCGCTCCGGTTCTCGCCCCGGTAGCGTCAGAAAGGGAAGGAAGGCCCACGGATGCATTTTTTCGGTGCATGCCCATGCATTGGACCTTGCATGCGCCGCCGAGATTGCAATGTTGCCAGGGCAACGTGGGGGCAGTGGAAAAAAAAAAAAAAGAGAGAGAGAGAGGAGTCTTTACACAAGCTAGTGGGTTAGCAAGCCTGAACTTGGCACCCCCCCCTCCTCCTCCTCCTCCCTCAGATAGTCAGGAGTTTCCTGTGTTGTCAAAACATAGAAAGCGGCTGCGTTGGGGAGAAAGAAGCGGCACATTATGCAGGCTGCTTGTTGGGCGAGTGGGATCTTTTATTTTTTTTCTCTTTCTCTTTCTTCGACTGACACACGGGGGTTTTGGACACATTTGTAAAGGCCTGCTTGCTGCTGGAAGGACTGAGCGATAGCACAACACAAGCTCCCAGCGATCATATCTGCACATTGTGATGACGCAAAACGGCAAAATAAACAGCGGCACCTGATGTGCGTCCCGATGCATGCATTTAAGAGTCTGCAGGCAACGATTTGATACGATAACACAATCACACCACTGTTGTTTATTAACTGTAGAGTAATAATAGGAACCCAAACATTGTCTGCAACCTTTGACATTGACTGTCTGGAGACAACACTTACTCCCCCACCCCCAAATAATAATCATTATGAGTTACTAACCGGTGTTAGGACGTGTTGTTATATGAATATATCACATGTTTACATACCGTTTGCTATGTTTTTGTTAATGCATTTGTCTTGTTTAGTGAAAATTGTTATATTATAATATTATTATTTTACATTTATTTACATTTTCTTTTACAGTTTTGCTGCCTCAAATGTCTGTTTAAATATAAATGTAACACACAAACAGTAGAAATGTAAACACAATCTATGGAAATGCAGAAAAAAGTGTAATTGTAATGTTTACTACTTATATACAGTAAATACATCTAGATATGCTATTTCTTTTTAGAGACTCGACACCTTAATTCACCAGTATGTTCATCGGGAAACAAATCTTCAAATGTCTCTCCAGGTAAAATGAGTCTGCCCTCTTCTGAATCAAACCTAGAACAAATGGCAGAAAAGGCAGAGGAGGTAAGTATGCAGCCTCCTTAGCAGCCAATGTGTTTTTTTGTCTGTTACATTAATAATTAAAAAGAAACTAATCCAAAAGGCAGATATTTAACTATTTTTTTTCCATCAGCCTGGTAGCTCAACTGAAACTATGAAGCCCTCCTCTTCTCGCAACAGGAGGTGAGGAGCAATTTTATTTTCTATTGTGGCTGTGAATTGTTTTGTTTGCAGTTGCGTGTTCTCAAGAGTTGCAGCTTAAAGTAGTGAACACTATGTGCCAATTCATTTTTAGGAAGTCCGCTGCTGTAGTTAAGCACACTGGCCTGAATGAATCCGACGCCTCCTCGAAGAGTGAAAATGAAGGTGCCACGTCTGACAGTCCTTCAGACAACAACACAAGCAGCGTATCTAAAGGTACGAAGTGTGGCGGTACTTGTTGATCCAGATAAATGTATTGTTGATGCTGATCCTTTTTTTATATGTTTATTTTTTGTTATTTCCTCTGATCAGGCACTTTAGTGATGAGGCCAGCTGGGAATGAAAGTAAAGGCGCCATGAAGCTCAGAGTGGATTTCAAACAGAAACATACGGGTGATTTGATATGATGTTTTTAATGTGATTTAACTGGGTAGCCTGAAAAGTTATAAATCATTTAGTGAGTGAGATAAAAGTTACTTTAATTTTTATCACAGATGATACTCTGCAGAAGAAGATAAGCTGCACTGCCTGCGGAAAACAAGTAAACCAGTTTCAGCGCAACTCCGTATATGAACATCCGGTGCTCAAAGTACTCATTTGCAAGGTAGGAAAGTTAAAATATATATTTCACACATATTCATTGCCATTACTGTCAAGTTCCACTGCTGCATTTTCCAGTCCTTCCATTCTTAACCTATTAGTAATCACATTGCTTCCTCTTTCTCTAGTCATGCTACAAGTATTACACAAGTGATGACATCAACAGAGACTCTGATGGGATGGATGAGCAGTGCAGGTACGATATTTTACCATCGAAAGATCGTAGTTCATTTGTTAAAACTAAAGCGACAACACGATGCACAATAGAAGTAATAAGATGTGAGCGCTAACATTATAGGCTTGGTTGGTAGTGATGGGAATTGATATGGTTTTATCGATACCAGTGCCATTACTGATTCTGCTTATTAGTCAGAGTCTTTATTGATTCTTGGTCAATTTTCTGTGTGTGGGGAACAAAGGGGGCGTACGCAACTTATTTGCGTCACTGCGGACAGAGTGGGGAAAAACAGGCATTCATATGACTCAGGTGTGCAAAAGCTCCACTGTTTAACCTTTTCATTCAGGGTTTCTAAGTTAAGTAAGAAAATATGCTAAGCCTGCAACATCCCAGCAGTGTAGATGCCCTAGGTCGACGTCATTGTTTTTGCAGTCAATAAAAAGGGTGGCATCGGGCGCCCGGTTAGCTCAGTCGATCGAGCTAGCGACCCATATACACAGCGGCCCAGGTTTGAATCCGACCTGCGGCCCTTTGCTGCATGTCATCCCCTCTCTCTCTGCCCCCCTTTTCTGTCTATCTGTCAAATAAAGGCATAAAAGGCCAAAAAAAATAATACTTTAAAAGGGTGGCATCAATAAAATGAATTTATAAACGATTCTGATGGATCGGACAATAAGGAACAAGTTCTCAGTTCCCATTCCTTTTGTCTGGGCGTCTTGAAAGAACATGACATTACTTTGATGTTTGTATGACATGGCATTCACACACATTGTTGTGTTCAAAGTGTATAAACGTGTAGGCAGCTAATGATTTTAATGCCCCTTTGAGAGCAACATTTAATGAAATAGTAGAAAAAGTGTTTCTGTTCCTTTTTACATTGATCTTAATTTCTTTAAAATCAATCCTCGATAGCTTTTTACTTTTAAACATATTAACTTATCAAAATGCAAAAAATTTCAAAGGACACTTTCACTTTACGCCCTAAAACTCTGAACTTTTCCTCCGCAGGTGGTGTGCTGAAGGTGGCAAGCTAATCTGCTGTGACTACTGCAACAACGCCTTCTGCAAGAAGTGCATCTTGCGCAACCTAGGCAGAAAGGAGCTGTCTGTCATTACTGATGAGAACTCAAAGTGGCATTGCTATGTCTGTAGGTCAGAGCCCCTCCAAGATCTGGTCTCCAAATGCCACAGGATCATGGAAAAACAAGAACTCAAGCTACGAAAAACAGATAAAACAGAGGAACGTGAAAGCAGGAGACACAAGAACAAACCAGTCAAAGAGCACAAAGCAGTTGTCAATGGAAAAGAACACATTGAAGGCTCAGGGACCATGACATTCTCCTACAAAAAACTGCAGGTACCCAAAGAACTTATAAAGAAAGCAAAAAAGCTTGTTGAAACCACAACGGGTCTGAACAATACGTTCATCCAGTTCATCCAGCAGGCAGCAGAGGAGCAGGAAGATAAGTCCATCAGGTATCGGCATTTGAAAGCCTTCAAGGCTGTGCTTGCCGATTTGAAAAAAGCCCACAGTGCTTTGGAAGCGGCTTTGGGGCCTGAGTTCAGAAACATGGAGTTGCAGAATGGTAACGAAGGGCAACATATTGTGAGAAAGAGCACTGATGTTGTGGCCCCTGTAGAAAATGACCACATGGATAATGTAGGGGACGCAGTTGATGAGGCTGAAGCAGTTGATGAGGCTGAAGCAGTTGATGAGGCCGAAGCAGTTGATGAGGCCGAAGCAGTTGATGAGGCCGAAGCAGCTGATGAGGCCGAGGCAGCTGATGAGGCCGAGGCAGCTGATGAGGCCGAGGCAGCTGATGAGGCCGAGGCAGCTGATGAGGCCGAGGCTGTTGATGATGCTGACGCAGCAGAGGAGCTGGACGAGGAGCAGAATAACGAGCAGGACATGGACAATGATCAAGATCAAGTGTCGAATGATACTGAAATGAAAGACAACCAAACTGAGGTAACCAAAAATACAATTAAAACTGAAGTCTGTGATGACGAGCTAGTGTCAGCTGGTGAAATGTCCCTAGATCACGATATTATGTCTGTGCCTCCTTCGGTTCCCGAAGAGCTTTTTCAGATGGTGGAGAGTCTTGCGGATTCCACCATGCTCTCACAGACTGACAAAGATTTGGTCACAGACACTGAAAAAGACACTGAAAATACAAAGTCAAATGGAAACGCAACAGAGGCTCAACGCCCCCAGCCTAAGGTAAAGAACCTAATAGTCAAACTGACTCCTGTGCCAGTTGTGACAACATGTGGTTCAAGATCCTCCAGGTCGAAAAACAGAGAAAAAGAAGAAGAAAAAGAGGAAGAGACACAGAAAAAGTCTAAAGAAGAAGAATGTGAGCAGGAGATAGATGATGCTACTGATACAGTAGATGGGACAAACAGCCCACCACCCAGTCGTCGCTCTAGTAGAGTAAAGACCACTCCCCTGAGAAAGCAGGCTGAGAATAAGGACAAGGAAGAGTCCTCTGATTCAGAGTCAGAGGAAGATAGTAAGAGCAAGGCTAAATCCTCCAAGAAATCCAGTAACACTAAAAAAAAAGATGGGAAGCAGATGGGGGCATCAGAGAAAAAGACAATAGATTCTGACTCGGATGAAGTTCCTAACATACTACTAGAGAAAGCTGCAGCAGGCCACAGCACAGATGAGGAAGAGGAAAGCACAAGTGGTAAAAAGCGTGTATTCAAACTGAACAACACATCCACACAGGATTCAGACAAAGCATCCAAACGCAAAAGAAAGTCTGAAAGCTCTGATTCAGACATGGAGAAGAAAAGTAAAAAGACTCCCAAGAAGAAGAAGCAGAATGGTTCAGACTCGTCCAACTCTGACTCTGACCAGGAGAAAGAGAAAAAGCATAAAGTGAGCCCAGCAAAGAGGAGATCTAGTCGTGTGAAGAAACAAGATGGAGCAAAGGAGGAAGACTCAGCTGAGAGCAAGGCAGCCGGGCGTAAACGGTCTTATGAAAAGAAGCGGAAGGGAAGAAGCTCCAAATCGGCCTCTAAGCTACATTCGTCCTCCAGTGAGAATGAGGAGGAGCAGCTGGCTGAAGGTGACTCCGGGGACGACAGCGACGCACAAAAGATGAAACCCATTGTGGAAGATAACGTTGTGGGAGGTGGTGGACCTTTCCATCAGTCCTCAGGTAATTTGGTCTAGAATACTATAACTCGTGGATGTAAAAGCCATTTTGGAAACACTGTAATTAGACAAAGTTCAACATTTTGGGAACTACACTCATTTGCTTTCTTGCCAAGAGCTAGATAAGAAGATTAGTCCGTTAGCTTAGCTTCACATAAAGCTGGCCTGGCTCTGTCCAAAGGCCACAATGTCAACTTGCCAGCACCCCTTTTAAACATTCTGTGTTTAAACTGTACAAAAACTCTTGGCAAAAGCAAACAACTGAATTTCCCACAATGTCAAATTGCTCCTTTTTAAAGAAACAACATGCTCTTCCATTAACAACAACGTGTGCTGTTTTGTTGTGTAGGAGACGAAGTGGATGATAAAGAGAAAGATTCTCGGGTTTGTGAAGATGACGACGACGATGATCCTGAAAACAGGTACTTAGAAAACACCAAATTGCAAAGCTGTTCTTGACTGCAGATAAAGACAATTGACGAAGAGTTATATTTACATTATTCTTGTTCATCGATGAAAGCCGTTTTTAACTGTGTGCTAATATTTAGAGAACACTGAAGAATTTCTCAGGTAGAGCAGTTTCACCTGATATAATGGGCTTTGGCATAGAGCACAGTGCTGCCGCTCACTGTCTTGTCCTTGCTAAAGGAAGTTTTATTTTAAATACTTTCATATGTGTCCTTAGGGCAGCATTTCTCTCTGGTTTATCCTAGTGAATCTGTATTTTCACCCAATATTGCCCATAGCAATGTCATAGCATCACAGTATTTCTATAGCGTCTCCTGGTTTCTATCAGTTATCAATTCACAAGCTCCAAGGACTAATCAATAGATCAATTGTTTAAAATGTGAGTCTGTTCTTGAATTTAAACATTCCTCTGAGTTTGTTTTTTTCTCATCATTCACTAAGAAACACATTTGATTAAAGTATCCTCCCTCCTGTTTTGTCTTTCTTTCGTCCTGAAGGATTGCAAAAAAAATGCTTCTCGCCCAAATAAAATCCAACTATTCTTCTGGAGCAGAGAGCTCCACTGATAATGAAGGAGCTGATAAGGACGAAAAGTCATCCAAGAAAGTTAAAAAAGAGGATGAGGATGAAGAAGAAGAAGAAGAAGAGCAGCAAGGTAGCATTAATTTACTGAATATATTAATACGTTTTTCAAACAAGCCTCTTTTATTGTGTATCGTCTGAAACCATTTGCTTCTCTCTTTGAAGAAGAAGATTCAGAAGACTCAAGTTCTGATGTCGACGTGAAGAAGCGTAGCAGACGCCACAAATTGCTTCGTCATAAACTCTCGCTGAGTGAGGGCGAATCAGGAGATGAGAAAGCTGCCGATAAAGACAAGAACAAAGGGGGCAAGAAGAAGACACGGCAGCAAGGTTCATTATGATTTTTTCACTTGCCCTGTTTGTCATGTCTAAAAATATGGGTGCAAATATTCTGATCTCTGTGAGACTGGCAAGTGACTTTTGTTTATTTGACTGCCTGTCAGTAGGCAGCGATGACTCTGAAGACTCAGACTTTGAGAAGTCAGATTCCAGCGAAGAGTCGGGAATAAGCGAGGAGATCAGTGAATCAGAGAATGAAGGGAAGCGCCGAAAGACCAGGTGAGCAGCGAGAACAGCCAGTTAACCACAGTGATTTATTACTGCCACTGGATCTGCATTGATCTCCTGCTGCTCTTGCTTATGTGAATTCTGATTTGTCTGTAGATCTGCTAAGAAGAAGGACGACGAGAAACAGAGAAGTTACAAGCAGAAGAAAAAGCGACGCAGGATTAAAGTTCAGGAGTCCTCTTCCAGCAATGAGAAGGTATTTAAAATGCAGAGCACTTGGTCGTAGTCTCCAACTGTCCCACAATTTATTTTTTTGCTTGGCAGAATTTGCCAGGTGGAGGAAATGGACCCACATAACGTTTCCTAGTCAAGTCATGCATGGCACATAAAATGTTATTTGAACTTACCCCTGGAGTATGTTGTGAGGATTATTGAGGGCACAAATTAATCATAGGGTTGCTTGGCTACTGATCATAGGCAGTGAGGTTTTTTTCCTAAGGGCTGAAGATCAGAGGGCTGAACTTTAATGTTCATTTCCACAGAGCGGAGAGGAAGGTGATGACGACCTAGATGATGAGGAGCGCAAAGGACGCAAAAAGATCCGCAAAATCCTGAAGGACGACAAGCTGCGGACAGAGACGAGAGATGCTCTGAAAGAAGAGGAGGAGAGGAGGAAACGTATTGCTGAAAGAGAGGCACTCAGGGAGAAACTGCGAGAGGTAAAATGAAAATGAACTGTGTGATGTGTTCGGAGCCCTGAGCTGTTACATCCTCGACACTAGTGTTGGGTGGTCTCCTGAATATTGCATGCCTAGTAAAATGGTTAAGACCTCATTCAATACTGCGGAGAAAATCACAAAATTGGATCAGTTGTTAGAGGAGGTAATGACTGGCTGAGCAGTGTTAAATCCTGTAAACCAAATAAAGGATGCAAGTGGATAAGCTATAACTCCTGTGAGTTAGCTAGACTGATAACAGCACAGCCTGCTGTTTCTGTCATTGTCCACTGTGTGCTTAAAGTGGTTAAACTGCTATAAATCTGATCAGAGTCTATTGTAGGGATGTACGATATTTATTTTTCAGCCAATAAGATAACAAATAATTACCTGTTTCTTGTGGTCCATAACGATAAGATAACCAATAATTTCACTTTTAAAAATAAATTTATAATCTGTAGTTTTTACACGCCTGGTGGTAAGAGGCTAAGATGTAGAGAGCAAAGACTGATGATTAAATATTCCACAGCTCTAATCTGATCAAATCTAACTGACATCACTATTGTTAACCCAACAAAAACAAACATAAAGCTTTGACTCTTGTCGAATGTTAATTTATTTAACTTTTCTTGTAAAGTACATCAGTAACTTAACAAACATACTTTGGCTTTCATAGAACATAAAGTCTATGAAACATTTTGCGTAAGAATTCAAAATAAATGATAATCCACGATAATTTATTGGCTATACCTTAATTATCACAATAATACATTATTATATATTTTCCCATTATAGGCCAATGATAACCGTGCATCCCTAATAAATAGTCAGATGAAATCTGGCCATTATGACACACAATACTGAATTACAGTTATTACAGTTTTTGTGTAACTCCTTTCTTTCTCTCTGCCTCTGATCCTTCTTCAGGTTATTGTGGTGAAGGAGTCTTCCCAGGTGACGTGCCCCATCACCACTAAGCTGGTGCTGGATGAGGATGAAGAGACCAAGGAGCCGTTGGTGCAGGTGCACAGGAACCTTGTCACAAAGCTCAAACCTCATCAGGTTGACGGTAAGGACAAAGTGAATTCATTCACACAAAATCAGCAGTTCAACAGCAATATCATGTATGTGAAACACTAAAAATGCTCTGAACTCATGTCAACTCTGTGTTTTGGTTTTTTTTTTTTGTTTTCAGGAGTTCAGTTCATGTGGGACTGCTGCTGTGAATCTGTGAAAAAGATTGAAAAGTCTTCTGGCTCCGGCTGCATCCTCGCCCACTGTATGGGCCTGGGAAAAACTCTGCAGGTATGGAGGAGAGAGCAGCATGAGTATGACACTAAAGCTCTGCAATGTGTGAGGGAAATGAGCTGTATATGTGGGAAAAATAAGAACACTGTGATGTATATCTATGTCTACAGTATGTACCTGGATTTCTTATTTAAATTTAAATTAAGTTTAAAATTAAATAACAATTACTAAACACTAAAATACTTCTTAGTAAGTGAAAGTATTTACTACTAATGCTAGAGTTACTGACTGTGTTTACTCTCAGGTACTGCAAATTTTGTGCAAACTGGCAATTTAAGCTTAATGCAACATTTTGAGGTGTCACAAATTTGTGAACTGTGAGAATTATGTATGTAAACTGCCAACTTGTGCCTGTTATACCCTCATGTGTGAATCCGTGTCTGCAGACCTGTGTGCTATGTTTAACTGTAGTTCTGTTTTTGCCCTGTAGGTGGTGACATTCCTTCACACTTTGCTGCTTTGTGAGAAGCTTGATTTCTCCACAGCATTGGTAGTTTGTCCCCTGAACACGGTCCTTAATTGGCTCAATGAGTTTGAGAAGTGGCAATATGGAATGAAGGATGATGAGAGTTTAGAGGTATGGAGTTGCCTTTGTAACATTTCAAGTTGTTCCTACTTCAGTGTTGCTGTTTTTTTTGTTGTGTGTGTTTATCACTCCTGATTTATGGCTTCTTTTTTGGATCTTGTTTACCAGGTGACTGAGCTGGCAACAGTAAAGAGGCCACAGGAGCGAGCATACGCCCTCCAGCGATGGCAAGAGATGGGGGGTGTTATGATCATCGGTTACGAGATGTACCGAAACCTAACGCAGGGCAGGAACATCAAGAGCAAGAAGCTCAAAGAGACCTTTCAGAAGACACTGGTAGATCCAGGTACAGTGCTCTGTAATGCCTATATGTGCTTAAACTGCACGTTAGTAAGTAAATTAGATTAAGAAATATGAACTCCTTTTTAATGTGTGAGCTGAAAAAATAGTTCTGATGTGGGACACTTTCACTTTTGTTGTTTCTATTAATGCAACTTTTAATCAGTCCAAGATTACATGAGGACAGATGTGATGAGAGCTGTTAAATCATGAACATTCACTGTTCAGAAACATTTTGTTATAATGTTATTGCAAATTCACAGCTGGCATCCATTAAACATTCATGTACAAATGACTGCTATCAGAAAAAAACAATAGGATTGGCCTGAAACCTTGGCAGTAATTATTAAAGTCTAAAAGAGTGTCTCTGTTGTTACACCAGTTACTGACTCATACTGTCCAATTAGCTATTCTCTTTTTTTCAAATATATCTCCAGTTGTATTTCCATTGTTTGATGAGCTTTTCTCCTTTACTTTTGCCAGGTCCAGACATGGTGATTTGTGATGAAGGTCACATCCTTAAGAACGAGGCGTCTGCTGTGTCCAAAGCAATGAATTCTATCAGGACGAGGAGGAGGGTTGTGCTGACTGGAACGCCTCTGCAAAACAACCTTGTTGAATGTGAGACTGCCTGGTTATATAGACAGCATTATACCAAGATTTTGTGTGGTTGTGGTTGGATGTATCTAAAACCTGTAATCGTTGTCTTCTTACCAGACCACTGCATGGTGAACTTCATCAAGGAGAACTTGCTTGGGTCAATTAAGGAGTTCAGGAATCGCTTCATTAACCCCATGCAGAACGGTCAGTGCGCCGACTCAACATTACACGATGTCCGGATCATGAAGAAGAGAGCTCACATCCTCTATGAGATGTTGGCTGGCTGTGTCCAGGTGAAAAAAAATGGCTAAAACTATTGATTAACATTCTCTTTGACCTCCTTCTCTTTGCCTCCTAAAGAATATAAGTTATCTCTGCTTCCCACAGAGGAAAGACTACACAGCGCTCACCAAGTTCCTGCCTCCCAAACATGAGTATGTGTTGTCAGTCAGAATGACTCCGATCCAGTGTAAGCTCTACAGATACTACCTGGAGCACTTCACAGGTGAGAACCATGCTTTAGTAATGCGCCTTTGTATTGAGCTTTTGTTGCACGGGAGGGCACAGGGTGTAGGGAATGGTAGTGCTGCTTGCTCGGTTTAAACCACTCTGATCTTTTAGGGTGCTTGGAGCCTCAGAGCCTCTAGGGGATTCTAACAAGGTTTTTTTTTTTTTTACAGTGTCAGGTCTGATTGCCCAGGAAGGGATTTAGCCTAGTCGTAGACTAAAACAAAATTCAATTGAGATTTCCATTGGAAAACACACGTAGTCTAGGACTAGGCTAAATCCTACAGCAAGAGTCTTGTTTCTCTTAAAAGTGATCTCTTGACTGGATGTCGTTTACTCAGACAAGGTTTTCAGATAAATGGAAGGCCTTTCTGGTCTCTCACTTTTTCGTGCTGCATTGTTAAGTCGTTTAGTGGACTTTCCTCCCAGAATGTGGCCCAGGACGTATGTGTGTGTGTGTCTCTGTGTGTGTGTAAGAGTGGCAGCTGGCAGAGTGCCGCAGGCAGGGTTTAAGCCCAGTTTCCCACGTCTCCCTAATGAAGAGCTCTGGGAGAGAGGGAACAGAGGGTGGGGGGTAAAAGGGGGGAATGTGGGGGCATAAAGGAAAGGGAAAGAAATGTAGAAGGAGGAGGGGCCAGAGGTTTTACACCAAAAGCGAAAACAAAGAACAGGAGAGCCGGTATGTAAGAAGAGGAGTGATGGGGGGGTTGGTGGTATGTGCTGTGGCTCATTAGGCCGGGTTGTCCACAGGGCACAGTGCTGATGTTGTGACTGTGGCTCTGGACCTCCACAGTGGTGTCTTTGGACCCAAGCGACCAGTCGGTGTGCAAGGGGGGGAATGGCTGTGCATGTTACTTATGTAAAACCTACTGTAACTTCTGACCTTGCTGGGTCAATGCAGGCCAACACACATAGAGCAGTTGCAACATTAACATATCAGCAGCTGCCACTCACTTCAGTTCATAAATCCACAGACTGAACAGATCAAAGTAGACAAGTACTAAACTGTATATTGTTGTCAAAAGAATGGCTGACATTTGGTGCTTGATTTGTTTAATGTAAATAATAATGACTCTAATTTGTCCATAGTCAGGTGGTTAGGGGTGGACATCAATGTTGTTGCAGTACATTTTCCACACTAGTCCGTATTTATGAAGAGATTGAGGGCACTTTGTCAAGTACATAATGCAAACACACATCCATCTTCCTTCTCACACTCTTTCTCTTGTGTGCAGGTGTGGGGAATGCGTTGGAGGGGGGCCGGGGCCGCGCAGGGACCAAACTCTTCCAGGATTTCCAGATGCTCAGCAGAATCTGGACCCATCCCTGGTGCCTTCAGCTGGACTACATCAGTAAAGAAAACAGGGTAGGGCTGCGGAAGATGAGATGAATCCACACTAAACACTAACTCAAAAACTGTGAATACATTAGCACAAATCACACACACTGTGGGAAAACAATAGAAATGTAGTGCTGACAGGTTATGGACCGGGGGAGAACAGCACACATAGTGCCGCTGCAGCAAAATTTTCCCCTTATGCATCATTTCTGCTACCCACGATCCAGCTCTGTGTTTGATTGACCTATATCATTGCATATTTGAGACTCATACAAGTGCACTGTCTTGCAGGGTTTCTTTGACGAAGACAGTATGGACGAGTTCATCGCTTCAGAAACAGAAGAATCCTCCATGAGTATGACATCTGAGGACGAGAAGATAAAAAAGTATGATAATATATTTCACTTCAACTTCCCCTTGTTGAACGTTCAGACTGAGATGACCTCATTTAACTGCCCTTCTTTCTTGCATCTGTTACTCTTCCTGACCCTGTCTCCTCCACCATTCCTCCTTCCTAATAGGAAAAAGAAGCAAGGGAAGGGGAAAAAAAAGGGATCTGATGACTCGGACAGTGATGACGTGGAGGTCATCAAGGAGTGGAACAGCAGCTCTCGGGGCAGGAACGGGGAGGGTCGAACCAGACCAGAGCCTGTAGAGGAACGTAAGTTTGTCAGGCATGTGGGAGCATTATGGGCTGTCGTCTGGGTATTATAGCTGCCAGGTCTGAATGTACGGGAATACCTGCGGTGCCAAGCTTATTATTAGCTCAGTTTTTGTTCTTAGATAGTGTGAAATGTCCACATAGAATTGATTGAGGCTGACATCCAGAAGTTAAAGAAAAAACTGCAGACTTCAGGGACCAGTTTTATATGATAACAGTAAGAAGTGTGACATTTTCATAAAGTACTTTATTCAAGTTTCTGTGGTCTGACTGGTTAAAAGTGATCCAGTCAACTGTAAAGCAGTTTTAGTCCATTAATGACACCCGTAACCTAAGTGAGCGCCTTTGAGTGTGGCCTTTATGCTGACTTTGTGATGCTTTCAAGGTCAAATCTAGATGTCAATATATATTTTCACACCTAAAATGGAAAAATTTAGCTAATGTAATTTTAAAATGCACAAATAAGTTAAAGTAAACAAGCTTGATCAACATATAAAAAAAACATACAACAATAAAAAGGAAATATTTAAAGACATACTTTGTTACATCTTGTTCAGACTGTACAGACAGCATAAAGAGTAATCTGTTACTTTGTGTGTCAAGCGCCTCAGCCCGCTGGCTCAGCACCAGGAAGTCCCACTCCTGACTGGCACAAGGAGTTTGTCACTGAGGCCGACGCTGAGATCCTGGAGCACTCTGCAAAGATATTTCTCCTCTTTGAGATCCTGCGCATGGCAGAGGAAGTAGATGATAAAGTGTAAGTGTGTCTGTACTCGATGCTGATAAAATCTTTTTGACCTTTTCTGTTACGCAGTTGGTTTGCAGTGTTACTTTGAAACGTTTGCTTTAATCACACAGTGACCTGTAACTGTGGTTAAGTGACACTGGTGTATCTTCCGTGCTCAGGTTGGTGTTCAGTCAGTCCCTCATCTCTCTAGACCTTATTGAGGATTTCCTGGAGCTGTCCTGCAGAGCTAAAGATGAAGGCAAAATCTCTCCATACAAAGGTAAATTTTTAGTGCAGTCTGACTTAATTTATTCAAGAAATTCTCACTTTTCTCAGTCGACTTGCCTGTCAATGTGTTAATGGATAATCCTACAGTTGCTTATGATCAGCTTCCCTCTTAATGTTACGATTTGAAAGGCTCCTCTTGGTTTCATGATGTGTTAAGCAATGTTTAATATTATAAGCCAGCTACTGACTTATGGAGCTCGAGGAGCCCAGTTGTGTGTCCCGAGGTTCATTTTTGTGGTTTTACACTGTAGTTTTTGAACCGACTGTTCTAACTGTGTGTGAGGTATAAAAAAAAGATTGCTAACATTAGCATTGGAGAAGGCTGAAGTATTTTCATATGGAGATGCAGGTTTCACACTCGTAAGACAATCCCACATGCAACATGTATTCTTGTACATGCTGGTGTGCTTATTACCCTTAAACACACACAGACGCACACATGCACACCGCCGCTGGTGTAAGGTCATGTTCCTAATTAAACTTCAGCAGCTGTTTTTACTTTCATTTTGAAAATGATTAGACCTTGACTTTTTATTCCACAAAAAAATGTTTGCTCAAGGGTTTGTAATTTGTAATGAAAAGATCACAGTGCCGTAATTGGAAACATGCTGAAATGTTGGTTATGAAGGCTGGTAGGGGGGGTTGGCCATCTTGAAGGCTAAACACGGCTGGCCTCTAACCAACACAACCATCTATCTGCTGTCTGCTAATACCCAAACTAAGTCCTTCTGACAAGAAAAAGGCCTAGTTGACACGTGTGTTTTTGAAGGTTTTATGGAGCCTACATATAGATGTTGAATAGTCATAGCAGATTGTTTTTAACTGTAACGTGTCTGTGAAGGTGAAGGCAAGTGGTTCAGGAATATTGACTACTATCGTCTGGATGGCTCCACCAACGCCACCACCAGGAAGAAGTGGGCTGAAGAGTTTAACGACACCAGTAACATAAGGTAATATAAGTTTATTGTAAACGCAGAACAAACTGAATGAAATGGTTCCATAGTACATTTCTCTACCTCCAAGCCGGCGATTGCCGTGGGCACAGTCAATATGTTTTCGAGCTGTCCATCCATCTGTACAGCCGTACGTCTATCTCTATACATCCCATTCTTGTGCCCTTCACTTGTTGCTTCATTTTGAATTTTGAGCATCATCAAAATTACAATGTTTTGGAGCACGGCTTTCTTATGCTTCTCATACTTATACTTTCCCAGAGGTCGTCTGTTCCTCATTTCAACGCGAGCTGGCTCTCTTGGCATCAACCTGGTGGCAGCCAACAGGGTCATCATCTTCGACGCTTCCTGGAATCCCTCCTACGACGTCCAGAGTATCTTCAGGGTCTACCGCTTTGGCCAGCTTAAAACTGTATATGTGTACAGGTTCCTAGCCCAGGTAAGCTTATTAAACCATCAATCATAAACCAAGAGATGATTCCAATTCCAATTTCATCTGTGATCATTATTTCTGCTTCTCTATCATAATCCCTCAAAGGTTTGGTGGTAAATTTGTGTATAATCTTCGGTTTTTGACCCAGGTTTCATATCCATATCTAGAAAGAGTTTAATACACAATATTAGTAGTAAATATACAGTGAGCCTTGACTATAATACTAAGATGCAAATACCTTATTGATTCCTGTGAGCCTTAATGTTTAAGTAAATCTGTAATTATTCTTTCTTTGCTGTCATTTCCTTCTCTTCTTTCAGGGTACAATGGAGGAGAAGATTTACGACCGGCAGGTAACCAAACAGTCTCTGTCATACCGGGTGGTGGATCAGCAGCAGATTGAGAGGCACTTTACGACAAACGAGCTGACGGAGCTTTACACCTTTGACCCAGACATGCTTGATGATCCGTCAGAGAAGAAGAGCAAGAAAGCCACGCCCTTGCTTCCTAAGGTAAAAATGCATATACAGTATGTACATACTTAGATTATTCAAATATGCTTCTATGTCGTACCAGGAATATTTTTGTAAATTTAATTTAGAATAAATTATACATGTTATTGGACTTTGACGAACCATTGACTGGGATTTCATGGTTTTCTTTATACTGATCCCCAAAGGAAATGAGGAAAAGCAGGCTGAAACCAATTAACAGTAGTAAAATAGTCTTTTTTCCTTCAACAAACATGGCACAGAATGCCATTTTAAATGCCAGGCTTGTTTTTCCAAACTTGCACCAAGTAGTATGTTCTTCCTTTTGAAGTTTAGCACTTCAGTGATAAACTGTTATTTAAACTCTGTGCCAGCTTGTATCCTGCTTGGCCTTTCCGGGATCTTTCTATTTCTTCTCGTTTCCTTTCATAATCCATCGCTCGCCTCTTCTCTCCTTAATGCAGGTGCTATGTCACTATTTGGCCCCCCTGGGGTTTAATAAGAACACACAGCCCTTACATGGGCCATCCAACCCCGCACAGCTGCACAGATTTGTCTGTTTACTGCTATTTACTAAATAGTCTTCTCATTGCAACACTGCTGCTGCCCAGCTATAAACCTGCACTCCTTTTTCTTTTTTCATTCATTCCTTCTCTGTTGATCTTTGAATTACTCCCATCCTTTCCCACTCCTTCCCTTTTTGCAGTCTCTGAGTTTCATCTTAAGTGGTTTTACCTCTTTATTTTGGTTTGACCTGGATTACTCTGCTGAAATCTGTAAACAGAATGGATAAAAGAAACACTGTATATCCAACTCCCTTGGTCGTTCACTGGACAGTCAAGATGCCTTTCAGTGCACCTTAATAGAAAATCTGTTTTCCATTTACCCTGATCTATTTAAAAGATCTTTATCACTGTTCCCTTCATGGTTATTAACAGGTAGGAGCACTGCATGAATCCCATCAGTTGGCAGCCACTATCATTGCTCTCACCTTCCATATTCCTCCAAATCGGGAGTAGTCTACTTACAGTGCAGCGGAGCACAGTTGGAGATTTGAAGAGGAAAGATGTGTTCATTGAGCCGCGGCCTGTTAGATGTGTATGATCTTTAATGAGGCCAGTGACATTTATGTGACACAGTATTAAAGACGGAGAGGCTGACAAGCTCTTTAACAAGCCGACCTGTTTTGGCCAGGGGGTTAACTATGATGTGGCAGCAGGACTTGCAGTATTACGGAAGGAATTTGCCGTCTGGAATGATGTGAAGATGAGTCAGACGCCCTCCATCACTTTCAGCCAACAACGCTCTGCACAGAAGGAGAGAGTGATTCGAGGCACGGCGGAGGGACTTTTGTACTTATTCTCCTAAACTCTTCACGCTGGGGAAGAGCTGTCTTCTAAGCCAGAGAGGGCATATAGCCCTTAAAACTCCCAAGTCACACAGGCTACAGAGGCAGTGGTTGATATTTATGCTTAAGAAGCTGAATTGGAGTTATTTTTGTCTCATCTTTTGCTTGTGTAAAGCTATGTTGTAATGAAAAACTCAGTTGTTTTTTCTCTATCAACCCACCTACCTCCTCCTCCTGTTCAGTCTCACTAAATGTACTCTACAGGATTATGTCCTGCTATGATTATATCTGCACCACTTTCACTTTGTATCCTACCTTTATTTCCACTTTCCTCCCCCTTATCCTTACTGATGTCTTCACTCTCTCCCCACCACCACCATTACCCCACCCGTCTTTTCCTTGCCATCATCGCGACCATCTGGTGCCCCGACTCGCTACTCTGCCTCCAAATGTTCAAAGCAAACTCAGTAAAGTTGTTTTTCTTCTTTTCCCTCTGGCTTAACCTGCATGATGAAGGGTCATTATTTAAACCCCTCTCTTAAAGATGTCTCTGTGCTCTTCAGAGAAACTAATTGGAGACAAAGGAAGCAGGAGCACTTCCCCTTAATGACAAAGAAGGTCCACGCAACCCAGACATGAGATTTTGACTCCACACCCACCCATCCTGACTGAGACACCCTCATCCATTTCCTGTTCATCACACTTGTCTCTTAAATCTTACATGCAACCACATGTACAATAGGAAGTAAACATGGCAGGTTTTTATATAACTGCAGTCTTCTCGGCATATGTTGCTGCATTGTACCCTGTCGGTCAAGCTGGCAGGCTGTGGGCGTACTTTACTGTATGTGCTCTCAGCAGGTGATGGCTGCAGTGGTCATTAGGCTCTGTCAGGTACACTGAAAGGCTGTGGGGAGGCTGCACTCGAGCCACAGTATATAGACAAGAGCAGACTGGAGCAATAAGCCACACCATGCTTGTCTCATTAGAGGTAGGAAGTCACTTTGACCTTAAAGGAAAATTCCCCCTTGAATACTCTGTAAGCATTATATAAATTATCAGCCAGTGATGTTCAGTGGATTTCAGCAGATGAAAGTTAAGTAAATTAGTTTTTTTGTGTGCCCACCCTTAGCTTGCTCCATCTATATTGACGTGGACTTCCCAGAATGCTTTTTTGCCAGCTTTCAGAAGAAGGAAAAAACATGTCTGAGCTTGTTGCATTGCAGGTGGAGTGAACACTAATGATAGTAACAAGAGACCGAGTTGTTGCAGGTGAGAAAAAAATCAAGAGCAGTGGCCCTCATTTGCTGCATTCTGGTCTGTTGAGACTCTGGTCTGTTGAGACTCCTGTCTGTGTCGCTGTCGCAGTCAAACTTCCACATTCAATAAGGCAGCTGTCGAAATAAATTTTTACTGTTACTGATCGGCTTTCAATGTCGGTGTGCAGGAAAAGGTGAAACACACCACCAGATAGTGAAATGGGCGCAGAGCAGTGCCTGTTTTAAAACAGTGCTGTAGTACTAAAGCCAGAGATGGCCTACATTTTGCTAGAAGCTATTAAGGTGCCTGTATACTCCCTCTGAAATGTTAATCGGATGATTGAACAGCTTCTTCACTTCACGCTGTGATTCACCAGCTGTGCAGAGGTAAGGAAGGAGTTGGGGTTTGAACTTCTCAAGTTTTCTTTTTCTTTTTCTTCTTATAAATACCTTCCAGAAGGAAATGCAGAATTATGCCCACATTTAAGCAGTATTGCGCCTACCCCCTCTCTAATGACGACAGGCATTTCAGCCGGCCTCCAGTGTTGCCGTTGGGAACAGCTATAAACCCCTTTGATTTCCGACATGATTGGATAACGCATTTTATGAACAACATCTTTTCTAGCATAACCTGGCCCTTAGTCTGTGTGGAGAGAAGTGTCTTGAGAAACGACCAAGCCTGGCAATTAGAAGCCATGCCAGTCAGTGGCCTGTGGGGAATAGCCCATTACATCAAATTTGAACTGAGCAACACCTCGTCACCTCTCCACTCCCACACTCTGTGATCAACTATTACAACTAGTGCACAGCCTGCTTCTCACTTCAGATTTGTTCAAAAACCCTACTTTTTTTCCTGCCCAGTACAGTTGCACCATCATACTCCAACTGACTCTCTGTGAATCCCTCCTGACCTGCTCATCCAGCTCCAGCTGGCTGTCCCTTGTACCGAGCTTTCGTAGAAATACCCCCACCTCTACTGCTGCTGGCTGAGGCTTGTTTTTATAGGAATGCGGTATATTTATTGTCTTTGTTTAGCCCTTTGTGACACGTGTGATTTTGTTTCTTTGTTAATTGACTGACAGCTAGATAAACCCTCTGACTTGTGCAGGCCCCGGAGGGTGTAAAGACAATGTAGTCCTGAGGGCAGGGGTGGCCTCCTGATGTCAGGCACAGCGGCAGTAGTTAAGTGCATTTCTGCAGAGAAACTGTTTAGAGCAGGCCAGGCCAGTAGGGTTATGTGTATCACTTGCGTGCAGCTGGAGGAGAGAGAGTTTTGACTGGCTGTGTTTAGGTATTACAAATATCTCAGCCACTCACATTCCTGTTGTCGGATCCTGTCTTGGCCCCCTCAGTTGCTATGGTTAACGCACCTGTGCATCAAAAGCAGTTTCTGGCAGACAGCCACTTTGAATACATTCAACATCTCCTGGACAACTCAAGAAACTAGTTGCTATAGTCGGACAAGTGTTCAATTGTCCGATTGTTCTTTTTTTTGGAATTCAATCAGTCTGTTTGCCTTCTCATCTTTCCAATCTCCCCAAATGTCATCTCTCTTCCTGTACATTTAATTCCTCCTGTGTGGTGTTTTTCTCTGTTAAGTAGAGGTTTACTGTTGTGGCAATGACAGAAATAAAATAAAACTGTGACTGTAAAAGCATGGTTAAAGCATTCTTGACACAATAAGTGGTCGTTTAGGTGCAGGAAATTGGGTTAATATGGTTGAGAATGTTCTCAGCTCGAGAAAATATCTGATAACGCGGCCAAAAATCCTGCCTGCATAGAACCCATAGCTATTAATGCAAGCGGGTGTTTAATTGCATCAGACCTTTTACAGTTAAGCGCCACCTAAAGTCTATTGGTAAAGTACGGGTTGGTGCCTGTGCCAAGTTGTAAAGTCTACATGAGGCCCACTTATGTCGACTCCCAGGTTTTCATCTTTCTGATGTGAGAGCTGCCGAGTTTGAAAACTGCTTTACATCATTTATGGACTGCTGGCAGGTTAACCATTTTCATAATATATACATGTACAAGAATTTGGCTTAAGGAGGGCATAAATTGTTCTCTCAATGGAAAGAATGGCAGTGGTAAATGTCATGCGTGTTGGATGCATTGTGTGATTAGTATACCAATTCTTACAGTTTTTTTGCTCTGCTGACCCCTTTGCTTTGCTTTATTTAACCGTCAGCTGAAGCCAAGACTTCCAGCTTAGAGATTACTTTACATTAACAGCACATTTGCAGACACTTTTGTTAAACAAAAGGAACAAAAGTGCTGTTGAGAATCAATACAGCAGATTATCAGGCCCTCGTATAGACTGAACCTGTTGAGATTCTTTGGTCTTGAGCTTATCCTCAGACATGGACAGCCACCTCCATTATTACATATGAACACACAAACACGTGCTCTGTGATGGCAAATGCGCAAATGTCCCCCTCTAGAAATACTCACCCTGCTCCCTACACTTTTTCTCAGAGGGGGGAAAAGTTGAGTGGGATAATTTCTCTCTCTCTCTCTCTCTCTCTCTCTCTCTCTCTCTCTCTCTCTCTCTCTCTCTCTCTCTCTCTCTCTCTCTCTCTCTCCTGCCCACCCAGCGTCTCTAGCTTTCTCTCTTCCTCTGCAGTAAAGCGATAGTCTTTAACATGCACTCCATAAGGATGACAATAGCCCAGGTCAGTTTACCTACAATCATTAGTGCTGGCTCAGGACCCACACACACTGAGCACACTGGGATCGGAGATGGACCGGACCACCCTAGAGCCATCGCTGGTGGGGATTACTTGGGTATCCCAGAATGCATTGGGTTTCATTGTGAGTGTCGGTACTGTCATTTGACCTGCAGCTCCACTGACCCATTACCCAGTCGACAGTCAAAAGTCCTCCTCTTTCATGCATTTGAATAAAACCTACACACACTTTCTAAACACTCAACAGATTGCAGTTTTTTTTCCTCATATGTGGCTTAAACTCTGTAGATGAGGTCAGTGACCTGAATGTTTTTCACAGTATGACAGCTTCTGTTTATGCCAGCAAACAGGCAAGAGCTGCCAGCTCTTGTTGTGGACTTGTGCCTGTTGGCTCTCGTTGTCACCTACTTAAAAATAATCCAGCTCAATCTGTTTAATTAGGAACTAACTGCAAGTTGTGCAAAACATTTCAGAAAATTTGTCATTTTCAAACAATGGAAATGTCTAATTCCATGATGCAGAGGACTGTTGTTGTTGTTGTTTTTGCATCATAATAAGTACCTTCAATCCCTCTCCTACTTCAGAAAAGGACAACAGGCTAATTGCAAAGCAGAGAGGTGTAAATATATAAATTAGTTATCTTTTTATGGGGAACGGTGACTGACAAATCAACTCGCCCAGATGAACATCTGAGTGGCCACAGGGCAATCCTTATTGCCACCACTGAGTCAGATTTGGACTTTGTCATAACCATGTTGTATCTACCAGTGCTAACCAAGTGCCTGGCATCTACAGTGGCCTTTACTTGACCTTGTGCTCACCTATTTTGGCAGAACAAACCATAGTGGATGCCTTTTATCCGAGTCAGGCCAACAGGCTCTTCTGTGCTTTTATGTCCTAATTAGAGAGCAAAGCAGCAGTTGAATCGCTGGCTATGCCTCTGCTCCAAAATGTCTGGTTGTTCAGGGGTGGCCTGGTTTTGTCCTGATTAAGTGTGATGGCTGGGAAACGTAAACATGTGTCAATGAGGAGCACAATTGGGTCCAGGGCCCAAGTGTTGGGAGGTTATTGTATGTGGTATGTAGGTATGAAGCTCTGAGGCCCTGTCTGTTCGTACCTGTTTCAGCCATCTTATCTGTCACTTTCTAGAGTTGTGAGGCCTAAAAATAGGTTATTGTGTAGTTTTCATGCAGCTCAACCCCCAACCACCACCCCCCTTTTTAGGGATCCAGTTTCGCTCCATCTGGTCTGGTGTTTATTTTCTGTTTATTCAGTACAGGTCTGCAATCACTGCTTAATTTCATAGTTTGGTCTATCTGTTTTGTCTTTTTTGCCCCGCCCTAATACCAGTGACATCCATGATTAATTTTGTTTGCAATTCTTTGCACTCTTTGTCACTGTTCAAAGTGAGGCAGGGGAGGCGAGCAGAAGCCCCCCTGTGAATTGGCCCGTGTGGAGGTTAATGATGCAACTTCTGTATGACGTTGTTTCCAGATTGCAAAGTTCCAGTTTAATGTAAAGCGAAGTCAAGACAAAGAAAAGCAAACGTGCTGCAGAGAGAGTAATTTAAACCATGTTTGTGTGAGCAGAGCCTGGCCCAGCTCTCTTAATTTTACTCAGGTATTGTTTTCAATAACAATGTAGTCATGGAAACCAGAGTCCCAAAAACCCCTTCATTTATTTATGTTTGTTTGGTTTTTTTTTACATGTTCTTTTAATCCTCCATACAGTCAAATCCAAGTCTTAAATTACAGCGTTAGAACTGTTATAACTCTTAATCAGGTCTTGTTGAACTGTTGGATTGTTTGCGGCGCTAACAATGCAGGTGTAACTAACTGGTGCTGCTTACTTCCAACGTGCATACAAAGCTTATAGCTGCATGTTAGATAAGAATGGAGATCCTGTAGCTCTTCAAACCAAAGCCATATCTAGTTCTAGAAGATCTCCTATTGGGGAGGTTGTGTGTTGCATTTTGAGTAACGTAAGAGACAATTTAGAGGCGTACGGTGGCCTAATTAAGACGCATACAATTGACTGTTATTGCGACATCCCTGGTTCGATTTGGGGACCATTTACCTTCTCTCCCTCCTCATTTCTTGTCATCTCTCTACTGGTGACCAGTGATTGAAGGCAAAAGTGCCTAAACAACTATTTTAAAAAGACAACTTAAAATCTTAATTGAGAGGAAATGTAGAAAGACATGTCTCAATATTACATTTGAGCTGAATTTCTAACCATCTTTTTATTAAGCTAGAATCAGTTCTCCACTTAAGAAGTTTATGAATGTCTTTGGGGTCAGATGCACGAAAAAGCTGCCAACAGAACAAGAGCTCCAACGGATCAATTGATTAAAAAAATTGCGTGAGCCGTTTCCAGTTTAAAGAACATTTTATTAAGAAACACATTGTTTTGATCCAGTAAAGATCTACCTCCGTTCATGAGTATTTTTATCTGCGTGCTTTGCAGAATGCGTTCAACATTTAGGGGTTGTTCTTTCTCTAATCATTCCTCCTGTTCATACTGGCCATGAAGAGACACCTAATGTGTTTTCAATCAGAGTGATGAGGGACAAAATCCAGAGTCAGAAGTTTATTGAAACTACTATGAGTCGTCAGCAGTCTGAATTAGAGAAATCAAGTGGCTATCTTCTAAAGTTACTGTCTTTTTAGTATAAAATTACCTTATGTTTCCCTGGAACAGGAACAAAAAAAGGGAATTTTGCACCAAAATATGATAACCTCTGCCTCCCCTCAAATGATGGCTTCTTCCCTCCTGTAGGATCCCTTCCTGGCTGAGATGCTGCAGAACAATAAGGACCAGATCGTGTGTTACCATGAACACGACTCCCTGCTGGACCACAAGGAGGAGGAAGCCCTGAGTGAGGAGGATCGCAAGGCAGCCTGGGCCGAGTATGAAGCAGAGAAAAAGGTAGGCATCAGAACACATACACACACACACACACACTGGCATATCTGCCAGTTCTAAAATCAAAGGCACGTGTACACATACAGCACTTAGACCATGTCCCTCATCCTCTAAATCATTGATATCACAGCACAAGGTGAGTTAAGAGAGGCCCCGCTTTTGTTTCTCAATATGTGTGAGTTGGTGTTGCATCTGTACAATCCTTTCATCACTTACTCTTAGTGATGAAGGGACGTTTTACCCTTCCAACCCCACCCCACTACTCTGATTGTCATTTTGGCCCACAATCAGACTAGTGATCTACTATTAAAAACCACTGAGAGCTTCTCCAAGCAGTGTCAGTGCTACTTACTGTAAGTACGTAGGTCCAATGCGGGTTAGGGACTCCTAACCTGACTCTTCTGTCTGTTTCACTCTTCACTTTTCTGTCCCCTCCTCTTTCCCTCTCCTTTCTTGTGGGACAAATCAATGGGCAATTAGTGGGGTTTATTTGGAGAAGTGTAGGAGGGGGGGTGATGTTGTAAGCAGGAGCAGGTCTCCTCTCCCCCCCTGTGTAATCCTAGATTCTAATTCACTCTAATGATTATTTTTCCAACACACTCTCCCTCCTCTGCCCTCTGTGTGCCTTAAGCGGCTTTTCCCTCAGAGCTCCTCTGCTTTTCAAGAGAACAGAGGGTTCCCAGTCGCAGGAAAAACAGTGGCGCTGAGGTCGAATGAGAGGCGTTCGCATCACTGCAATCTGTCATACACTAAAGATGTGCAAGTAGCCAGTTTCATCCACGTGAGGCTGTTCAGTATCACATTGTATACTCTGAGCTTTGTAGGAGAAACAACTGGAACGTAACCCGGCCTCTGCTAATGTCTTCACAACTTAAGGGTTGGCCGGTGGTGGCCAGGAAAAGCTATGTGTATGAATATCAGATTTGCAACTCAGGAAATGGGAAAAACTGTGAGAACATGATCAGGCGCCCAAAACCAAACTGAACCCAGGAGCCCTTGGTCTCACTGGGATGACTTCAGCTCAGTACACAGCTTAGAGAGGCTCATGTCATAAATTTAGATTTCAGACGCTGACTTTTGGAAATGAAGTCAAGTCTAGATTTGGTGTCTGTCTATCTGTAGATGTATGAAGTCTGCAGAACATCTGAGGATGCAGCTGAAGTCCAAGAGTGGCTGCTTGTTGACAGCAAACCCAAAAGTGAAGAGAGTGTGTGTGTGTGTGCGTGTGTGCGTGGTTTTGTGGTTGTTTTGAGGTTTTGTACTGTTTAAGCCTGCACACCTGTCTCTGACCAGGTCCAAAGGCCCCCCCCACGCGCATGCACAGACAGACAGACAGACAGACAGACAGACAGACAGACAGACAGACAGACAGACAGCACACACACACACACACACACACACACACACACACACACACACACACACACACACACACACACACACACACACACACACACACACACACACACCCCTACATACCGGATGGCCAGATTACAGGGCACGGGAAAACCATCTGCAGCAGAGGCTCAATTACACACAAACATCGGCATCCTGCTGGCCTTTACTGGGACAAGACTGTTTACTTCAGGTCACTTCTCTCACACACATACGTTTAATACAAGAGTAGCAGGCCGATACCTGGCAACTTGTTACTCTTGCAGGGTCAGACTAGTTATATATGAAGAGTTTAAAGCTTTGTTGTCAAAATTGTGGACTGAACATTAAATAAACTGACATCTCTGGTCACAGTGATGGCGTACAGTCTCTCCCATAATGCCCTTGGTGGCTCTTAAAGATGTGTGCTAATCCTGTTCTTCTGTTGGATCCCTCCTAACTTGCCCCCCTCTGTCCCTGTGTTTTATCTCTCAGGGTTTGTCCATGAGGACCAACTACCAGTCACCATATGCTCAGATGGACATGGGCTCCTCCAACTACTTCTCCTACAACGTGGCGGCTTTGGCCTCCATGAACAACCAGCAGCTGGAGGTAAGTAATGAGCTCCACATGCCCTCTCTCCTGCCTCGCACTCCTCCCTCTCCTTCCCCCACGGCATGGCGCCCCACATTCCTCAGACCCCACTGCTAATTGTGACAACAGTCTAGTAGCCGGCGTGCCCGGCTCTGCCCCGCTCCTCCACCCAACGGTTCGTAATACTTCATGTCTGGGGCAGCAGCTATTTATACATGGTGGCACATCTGACTGAGGGAGAGGACAGGAGGTCCAAGAGGCAGTTTGTGTTTTTCAATAAGGAAGTCAAATAAGTGTAGTTGTTACTGTATGTTGGATTCAATTCTTATAGTCACGGCATATGAAAACTAATGATGTTACAGCTGTATCTTTGAAAGTAAACAGACTTATTGTTCTTATAAACCTGTGAAAGTGATTCAATAACTCAGTAAGTGCTGCGTCCTCCTGTAAAGATCTGGTCAGCAGATTTTGGAGCATAAAATGATCACCACTGATGGAGCTTAAGCTACCACTATGTTAGAGAAGCCACTTGGAGCTAGGCATAGTTAATCGATTAGAGCTTACTTGGCAGGCAACTGAACAGTAAATGTGCATCCTCAAAAACAATGAACTAAAAGAAATTCTGTAAAGCTGCAATAATTCTCTGAGGGCTTGTCACTATGACTGATAGCTTTGGCTCATTTTATTAAACATTAATCTCATAAATACTAATTTATACTGGTTTAAAGATCATCCGTGTGCTACAAGACGAGTAGTAAATATCCACTTTGCACCCACAGTTATGTGTTCATTTTTCATGGTGAAAATGAGAGAAGCTTACCATATTTTATGTTTGTGTTCAGGACCTTATAAACCAGGGACGACAGAAAGTCATCGAAGCAACAAATGCATTGAAGTCTTTATCACGGGAGTCACTGGAAGATACTATCGCCAGAGTGGTGAGTGTCAAAAGACGTGCTTTTAATGAAGTCACCTTTCTGTCACTGGTCTGCATCATAGCTGTGTTTGATGGTCGAGGTCAACGTGTGTGAACTGTCCTCTCTCCCCACAGTGGAAGGAGAACCCTTCACTCACAGAGAGTCAGGTCCAGTCAATGGCTTTGGGTCGACAGGCCAGTGTGGAGCTGGAGCTCAAGCGCAGGGAAGTCGTGTACAGGGACACACTCACCAGGCAGCAGACGGTAAGAACGGCTTCATGTATGAGCCACAGTAGCTGACAACTGAAAGACAATTCCTACTGTCATCATTTTATCATCAAACTGTTTATTATAGTCCATTTATTATAAAAAAAAATGTCATAAAGCTAAAATGTGTGACAGACGGCATTTTAATGAAGTACTTTAGTGCCTCCTAAAAATCTTGTTCTGTTTGTCATCATGATAAGTTAAACAAAAACAGTGAAAATGAAAATTGTGAAGCAAAAAGGATGATGTCACACTCACTATCTGTCAAAATAATCACAAATATATATATATATATATATATATGTATATTTTTACCATATCATGCAGCCCTACTTTGGACATAAGAGGTTTTGGTTGTTCAGCTGGTATTTTGTTAACTGTAGTATTTTTGTGGTTGTTTGAACTGTCTCTCTTTGTTTATGTCTGCCCAGCTGATGATGTTCGTGCAGAAGCTGATCACCAACAGGAAGGTGCAGGAGCAGCAGCTGGCCATGGCTAACCAGGCCAGCTACCTGAACCAGCTGGCCCTGCAGAACGGCATGATGGGAGGCAGCGGGCTTAGCCAGATGGACCTGCTGGGGCTCTACCAGCAGCTCCACGGCCTGGGCTCCCATCAAAACATGGGCAAGAATCCTGGGCCCTCCAAGGGCCTGTAGGTTAGAGGGACTCCTCCTCAACACCCCCCACTCAGCTAGTCGGCTCCCAGTGGCCCAGTTCAAGCGAGGCCCAGTTCTCTGTAACAAACGCACTGTGAGACCGCTCAGAGCTCAAAGCAAACTGGTGCACCAATCAGAGGGTGGAGTGGTTTTGAGACTAGGCTGCTGTCCACTGGGGCCTCAAGTGGGATAGACTCTCAGTGCTTTATTCTGTAGTTCACTGAGAGAAGGTGGAATATAATGTATAAATGACTGTGTGAAAGAAGTCCATTAGGAATTTCAACAGAAAAAAAATGTATATACCGCCTTAATGTTATTCAAGTTCTATATCTTCATTTTTCATGTATTTAAAGGCAAAAAAAGTTTTACCCCCAATGCTTTAAAGCATTGTATTGTTCTCCCCTTAAGAGGGTTTCCTTATTATTTAAACTCAGTTTTTTATACTGTTTTAAATGCCTAACTAATCCTGAGTGGGACCAGTGTTGTTGGTGACAGGACTCTATGATGTAAACCTCTACATGATTATTAGCCCCAGTAGATTCCTTCACCAATATCTAGCAAAGCAGACAGCGAATGGTGCTGCAAAGTCCTGCTCTTTTTGGGAGATAGAAAATTGATAAGTGAACAAAAACGAAAAAAAAAAGAATAATGGCGTCATATTCATTTCCTAAGAAAGAAAGAAAAAAAAAAAGCTCTGTAAAGTTCTGAGATTTGTTGAGAATCTTTTCTATTATGCTTTTACGTGTTTACATTAGTTGTCGCTGAACATGGTAATGGAATGCTTGTGTTGTTCAAAACTGCCTGCCGGTTCCTATGACCTTTTTGTAACATCATTCTCATTGTCACGTGTTGTCTAGCATAGCACTGTGCGTCCTGTTTCACTGTTTATGTTCCACTTGTGTTGATCCCAAGCTTGGGTGAGTGACTGGGTCTCACAAAGCACAACCAGTTCAGCCGGGCGTCACAGGGCCCAAAAACTATTCCCTTTACTTGTCTGTCAAAGTTTGAAATGTGTGTGTTTCACAGTTGTTTGGATAGAGTAAAGACTGGAAATCTTATTATGTCCTGGCTGATCTGTGTCCTCTGCTTTGTGAGAGATGCCTTCTGGACACTGTAGTCTCACCAGGCAGGCCCCCCCAGACTACCTGTATTCTACTTTGGCACATTTTTGCTTCTAAATGCTTAAACTGGTGTAGCTGTTAATCATGAGGAATATGTACATTTCTCATCAAGAGACGACTGTTGTCTCTAGTTGGCTCCTGTGTTTGCACAAGGTGTATTCCTGTAGAGAAACCTTTTGGCCTCTTCTAAGAATGTTCTTATGTTAGCAAATACACCAACTTGATTTGCCATGAATTTGATCTGCTATTATCTTGATAAGTATTTAATATAACATTTAATAAAGTGACCAAAAGGATGAGCTACTCCTGTGTTTGTTTTTCAGGACTGAAATGATTTACAGCACTTTTCACTGACTGAAGTTATAAATGGAGATGTTGGTAAGAGATCTGGTCATTCTGGTCCTTTATTTTGTAGGTTTTTACATAAACTTTTTATTTTCCAGCTGCATGATAACGTATCTGAAGCATGACCGAAGGTGAATTCTGTGAGGCTTATACCAATATTGATATTTAAGAGTCTAAACAATCTGTTAACAAAATATTAGCCAGTATTTTGGGAGGCATTTTATGGCTTTAATAGACAGATAAAACAAAATTATTCAACAAAGGTCCATGCTTGAACCCGGGGTGTTGTAGTTTATGGTAAGTGCTTTAAACACCTAGGACAGCAGAATATAGACACAGAAAAGAAATGTTTTTAAGATGATCACTTGCATTTGGTTTAAAAGAATTATAAACACACTGTTTCTGGAGTGGGGAATTTGGACAAAGTAAACAATTTCAGTGCTTTCTGGAAGACCAACATTGTTTCTAAATGAACTTAAAAGCATAGTTTTGATACCTGATATTTGTCGAGCTCTAAATGTGCTCTAATCGAAAGGGTAAATCTTCCTGGTCTGCCAGGCAGCCGATGCAGACTAATCTGAATTTTAGGCCTTAAATGTCTTTAAATTAATTGGATTAATGAAGCTAATGTTACTTGTATAAATTTTCACTCTTTTAAACTTTTAAATGTGTTTTGGGGAAACATTTGTATTGATCATGTTGCACTACAAGACAAAACGGACATGGAGCTAATACTGATTTTCCTTCATCCCCTTCATACTTAGCCAATATGGACCTAAAACTGGTCTTAAAATGTCTGAACTTGTTGAACCCTGAAGCACTTATGTGTTAACTAGTGAGCTTTTAAAGTTTCTTTTACCTGAAGGGAGCTAGGCTAGTTGTTCCTCCCCCCCCGCTTCCAGTCTTCATGCTTAACTAAGCTCCTGGCTCCAGCTTCATATTAATCACACAGATGTGAGAATGTTATCAATCTTTTTATCTAATTCTCAGCAAGAAAGCAACGACCATTTCCCAAAACGTAAAGCTAGTTCTTTACAATTGGACAGATAGCAGACACATCCCGACGCAGTGTCCTTGTATTTCACACCCACAGTACTAAGTGCCTTTTGTCCCACTCTCTTCTCCCTTCAATCTTTCATCTATTTTTCCCTCTCCCGGTATTGTTTTCATTTCTCAGTCTGCCAGGGTTTTCCCCTGCATGTCTTTGACTTTTCCATTCCCTCCCCCCAGGGGAGCTTGCTCTCACAGCTTACAGATATCTGCCAGTGGAGAAACATTACAACTATTGCAGATGTTGAAATGTTGATCCCATCCCCTCTCAGCCCCAGATTACCACCACTCCAGGTTTGTGGCACATCCCTGCTGGTTCTCTGTGCCGCAGGCAGCTGTTTCTGTCCATTGAAAAGGACTGCTGCAGTCTGCACTGTAGTGGAGTCTGTGAGGCCCCTGCAATGAACAACCAATCACTGCTCTAAATCCATGCTGATGTGTAAAGCCAATTAGGAGTCGGGATCCAGTTGCATAAGGAATCTGATTTAGTACGGTGGATGTAGGCTGACTAAGACCTTGTGGAGACAGAGAGGGTCTGTGCACATTACTTGGTAAAGGGTTTATGAGGGCAAATTGGCATGGGATTGCATTGGTGCTCTTCTCTGGGAAAAATCTGCGGTATCTTTTCACGTCATTTTCTCTCCGTCTTTTGGACAGCAGGACAAAATGCCATGTGGGCATTGCTTTAGAGATATTTGAGGAATTTTGATAATAATGCTCTCTCAGTATCTGTTCTCTTGCACCAGCAAAGCTTTAATCATTTTTTATCCACATAAAAGAAAGCTACTTTTTAATGTTGCTAAGGCAGGTCTGCTCATTATCAGGTGAAAACCACAAATGTTAACTTCACAGTGTCGCTAGAGGAAAAGTTGGCAGCACCAAAGTGAGTTCGTCTTCTGGAGTTTAATGACAAAACTTTATTGGTGATCCATCCAACAGTTTCATGAGATAATTCAGTCTGGACCAGAGTGGTGGTCCCAACTGAATGCTGCTAACACACTGAAAACAAAAGGAAAGAATTGCAACATTCACATAGATTCTATATCTGGTTTTAATTGGTACATCACATTTTTATCCAAGCAAAAATAGTCTCTCACAATGAGTTCTCGATAGCAGGACAATTTTATTGTCATGTTCATTGCAATTTATTTATTTATTTATTTATTTATTTTTTTGTGTAATTTCAGTAGAATCTACAGTCCAGATAACTTCAAGTTCATTACAAAATAAAGTCTTTGCAATAAATAAATATATAGATTTATATTTATACTTTATATGTAGAAAATAAATATATTGTACATCTCATAAATAGGATCACCCATATGTACACCTCAGCTGCTTGCATTTTTAATAATGTTCCTGACACTTTGAACATTACAAGTCACCATCCTTAAAACAAACCATCACTTATTCTTTACAACCACAGTCAGAGAAGTGCTTTTGTCCCGAGCTTAATCGCTTGTTTTGCACACAATTCCTACAAGACGCTGCTTGATATTTTATGTAAATGTGATGAATGAGATCATTACTATGACTCCGATGATTACATGGGAGAACAAGCAAGCCTACAGCTGGGACTGGGGATGTGCAGTAAGTGCTCTTTCATCTGTCACACATTCATTTTACAGATTTTATTCCCCCTCTTTCATCTTTGATTTTTTTTTTTTTAGACAACTTAATAAAACTCCAGTTCTTCTCCTCACAGTCTCTTTAGTACCTGACTATCCCAACCTGTCACTTAACATGCATGTATTTTCTGACTCTTTTTCTTCTATCTATCCTCTGCATATGTGGAATGTTCCCTTTCTTACGTTTACCATGACTGTATAGTGCGTGACAAATGCACAATGTGACATCTGCAGTGCTTTCCGTCATCAGAGCTCCTAAAAGTCTCTTCTTGGTGTCCTCATAGTCAACCATTCTTTTTTTCCTCCTCTTTTTTGTCCCCACGCCAGCTTAGTGTTACGCAAAAAGAGCCACGACTCCACATGCCGCCTCAGTATCTACGCTTTTACCTCTACAAAGTGGTTATTGAAAAAACATGGCACCTGATTGGGTTGTCCTGCTCGCCCCCCACAGCTGGGCGGTCATGCGGGGCTCCTCCATCCGCAGTGTCCGCAGTGGTTTTACAAGATCACTTTCCCTCCCTCTCTGGGGTCACTGCAGAGGCAAAGAAGCGATGTCCAGGAACACGCACAATGTTTATGTCAGTGCTGCTTGGCAGTGGGCTGAGGCGCAAACACAGTGACCTCAGGGGGAGTTGAGGGTAAACAGTTTTGTACCAGGTCCAAAATATCCACAACACCCCCTCTCTCTTCTTCTTTTACTTCTGTTCCTCCGATTGTAACCAGTTCTCCAGGTGTAAGCACTGGTCACCTGTACTGGAATAAGTCCCTGTACGCCTGAGGGATCTTTTCGATCTCTACCGGCCTGGGTAAGAAGTGGGTGAGTTTCTGATGTTTTTTAGTCCTGCTGCCCTCCCTGGGCGAGCCGTCCTTGTTTAAGGCCACGTAGTAGAAGCGTCCTGTGTCTGTGTGTTTGTACAGAGTTGAAGCGTAGGTGTTGTACCAGTTCTCCTCAAACTGCTCCCTGAACACACATTCTGCTGTCAGCTTCTTCTGCAGGAGAGAAAACAACATATTAGTCATATGCTAAAGTCCTGCTCACACGGCACTGAGTGAGAAAGTCTGCAACAAAACGCAGCCGAGATCGAGACGGATGATCCCACTTTGCGTGCAGATTCCACTCGTCCTGGTGTACTAGTCTACGTATTTCATTAACTATCTTGGACTGCACTTGGAAGCTGAAATGAACCAGTAGAAACTCATTTAGACAGGTGCTCATTTTGACAAAAAGAGGGGAAGTCATTACTTGCGGCTTTTCACTTTAGGCCCCGCACTCATTCCTCAGACCTGTTAACCTCTCGTTGTACACCGAGCGTTATTTCCCTCCCTGTGATGCAAGGAGAACAGCAAGCAGGCGTACAATCTTCCCCTTACTCTCTCACTTAAACACACACACACACACACACACACACACACACACACACACACACACACACACACACAGCAGCTCTCAAAGTCTTCCCTGACAGCACAGCATGAGCGATGGCTGTGGGTTCAGCAGGTGAGAGTGTGCTGGCTGAGTGAGTGTGTGAGAACAATAAGAGACATCAGGGTTAGAGCTGCTCTCCTGCCAAGACCAGTAAGTCACGCAGCGGCTCTGCAAGAGGGTCGAACCTCAGTCGAGTCGGGGGTATCACCGAGGACCAAGGGCCAAATATGCACCCCCTTTTGAGGGTGTCCCGAACAGTCTCCCCCCCACATTCTCTCCAGACACTTTTGAACTAACTCTTTCTTTGGCTACGACGACATGCCTTCTCTACACAGCATTCAGTCAATCGCTGCCTTTAATAACACGTGTTATAGTTCCAGTGAGTGTTTGTGCAAGAGTCTCCGTTTTTATTCCAGCAGCAATTTTGTTGATTGGCTGTCAGGCTATGCTTGGCTGCGGCTGTGTGGTGAAGCTGTTGTCTGTAAACACAACCCTGAGGGCACATGACTGGGCCAGCTCCATGCTAATACACACACACACACACACACACACACACACACACACACACACACACACACACAGAAACCTCATTGGATCAAAAGCTTGTCAAGGTCTGGTGGTTGTGGGACGGAAGCACCCTTCTACCTGTTGCCCCCTCCACCTCCTGGCCTCTCAGCCTCAGACAGACGTGTCTACATCGCTCCCTCTGTCAGTCAGGTGACTCAGTCAGGTGTGTAATTACCCCCACCCCCAAAAATCACTACCTCCCACCTCACCCGGCCCCTCCCCCAGGGTCAAAGCTCCAGGATGCCAGTCTCTGATAGCACGCAGTAACAATATCTGCACT